GCATTGGAACTCACCGAGCAGTGCCGACTATTACGAACAAAATGTAAACAACTACTCATTCCGAAAGCTTTTTTATATGAAGTCGGTCATTTCGCGTGAATGAGACTTTTTGCAGGAAAACAAACACAAATTTTTATAGGTTTTTGATTTTCCCGTGGTCTTGACAGTTGCAATAAGAACAGCGGTCACCGTGAGCTTCATCTTTGTGCAGAAATCTCGTCAAAAGATCTGGTAAAACCTTGGCAAATTGACCATTTAAGCAACCAATACTTTTTGGCGCCGTTTTTGTAAAGTAATGGACATTTGATCACTTTTTTGGGCCTAAGTTAACGGCTTGCACATTTACTTGGCATAAACCTTCACGACTCTACAAAAAGTGGAATTACGGACCCAATTTTGCGGCCTAAATGCAAAGTGGATCCGTTTGACTCGCAGTTTCTCAAGGATCCACTGAACGAATTTGCTCGTGCTTTTGCATGTTTGAATTTCATGCGGATAGCATGCATTGTGCAAAATTTGAGCCCAGGAGGTTGGCTGGAACACTCTCTACGAATTTCGTAACAGACACACTCACACACAGACAGACACACAAAGTCACGTAAACATCCTTAGCCCGTTATTATAAGTAATGATATATACAGGGTGTCCCAAAAAAATGTGCCTACTGTTTGATTGTAAATAACTCCCTTGTAATGTAGTGTTTCGAGATGTTTTAGGTACCGTTTTGTAGAGCGAGGTCAAACTTAGATTTGCAGTATGGAGCGAATCGTCTATCTCTCTTCATTACTGTAGGATTACGGTACAAAATTCGACAAGGATTTTAGGGCCATTGGAGGCTATATTCGGCCTCCGAACAGAACCAAACAAGCCAAAAACTCTTGTACTACGGTAATGGGAGCCGCTGATTCCGATTTTGAAATTTTCATTTTTCTATGATGCTTCTTTCCAAAGTTATCCCCGGTAAATCGTAATAACTCAGTTCCCAGCATTTGTCAGAAATGTAATTACAACGTCAAAAAAGCTGAAAACACTCGTAATAAGTTATTAGGTAGAATCAGCATGCGCGAAAACCCTAATACACGATTTTTCAGAATTTTTGAAAAAAGTTTTATTAAATAGTAAATTTCACATTAAATCCATATGTTGGAAGTTCTTACCGTAATCCTACAGTAGTGAAGAGAGATCAGTGATTCGCTCTATGCTGTAAATCTAAGTTCAACCTCGCTCTATAAAATGGCACCTAAAGCTTCTCGAAACACATCATCACAAGAGAGTTATTTACAATCAAACAGTAGGCACATTTTTTTGGGACACTCTGTATATATATAAAACTCAATGTCTGTGAGGATGTTCGTTTAGTTGTTCGTTCGTTATAAAAACGCGCGCCGCTGAACCGATCCGGCTGAAACTTCGCACACGTATGATTTTGACCCCGGCGGTGGTTAAGAGCTACTTTCCGCGGAGATTTGCCGAGCCATTCTATCGATTTATTGATTTGTTTACTCAAACCTAAGAAAATGAAGGGCCATCAATGGCAACCGATCATTTTTACATATAAGCATGTAAGCAGGGGCGGTAAAGTTCATTCTAATCTCAAGGCTGACAGAATGCAGCGGGTTCGTCTCAAAGCGCTTTTCGCGCAATGTAGAAATTAGAAAATGTAAGTATGTTGGCTTCCAGATTCGTGTGGAGGCGGGCTGCGGACTTCAGTGACGAAATTCAATGCTTTAGCGTAGAGGTTTAACAAGTTTACCCTAAAGATCAGGGAAGTTTGCAACCCGCCTCTATACGAATGGGAGCCGATGACATATTGGTTAAATTAAGAGTCCCGGGTGAGACCGGGACTATCAGCTAGTAGACTATACGACAAAGCTTGTAACTTATGAGATTGCGCAATCTGCCCATACGGAAAAATCGGAGATTGCACAAAATGTGGTGTCGTTTACGAAATCCATTGTTTGAAATGTTCCGCCAATTACATTGGTGAGACCGGCCGACCATTCGGCGTACGTTTGAATGAACATCTAACTGGCAAAAGAAAACAGAGCATGATGAGCCCATTAGGTAAACACAGAAAGGTAGAACACGAAGGAACGGATTACGATATAAGGTGCGCAATACTAGCCTATGAAAGTCAAATAGCTGCGCGAAAGGCTTTGGAAGCGTTATTCATTCTTACGCGTGATTCCAAAATGAACAGCAAGAATGAACAGTTATCCATTACCGCTGATCTCATGCCGTATCTTCCGTTTTGCGAGCTATGGATCGTCTGAGCGTATATAAGCAGTTATGTGACATACACACTGCTCATTCTTGTGTCACCACAGTCGAACGGGCTCGTCTAAAGCGGTTGCACACTGCAATATCGGTAATACACTGGTGAGTGAAAGTCATGGCCCAACCTCCTTCTTCCACACTAGATGAATCGAATATGCAAGTGGGAAAAGGTGTTTGGCGGTCAAGAGCAGACATCCTTGTGACTGACACCTTTCAGGCCTCTGATGACGGCGTGTAGCCGAAACGTAATCCAATAAAGTGTATTACTATAAAAAACCTGTACGGCACAGAACAAATACTGAAGTTATCTTTCAAATGCCCAGGTTTCAAGATAAAAGTACTTTCAACATAGTAAGTCATTTTTCATGAACTTCAGCTTTCCTTCACCAGGTCAAGAGCAGCTGTAATAAAATAGAAGATTTGTGCTTGTTGGGACGACTTTGTTCAGTAACGCTTACATATATGACCTCTCTTTTAGTTACTCCTTCTCTCTACAGCACACAAGTAATGACTAAGATTTTACCAGTATATGAACGAGACATAGTGCAAAGGGCAAGGAAAAAAGGAGACACATTGGAATATACCGAGATACAAGAGAGGCACAGAGAATACATTAAAGAGGCACAATACAAGGATGAGAAGGACATTTAGAAGAGAAGGGGAAGTAAATGAATAGGAGGGGTCGGAGGCTCACCTCAGCATGATGGTAAGAACGCCAGCCAAAGCTGGCATGCTGTCGCACAAGAGCCGAATGGGCGGGATTTATGTCTTTTTATACCCTCTTCGTGGGCGGGTAAGATGGAGCGGCCGAATTTGGCCGATTGGCGCTGTGATAGGTTTTGCGCTTTTCCTACACAGCCTTGAGTCAATGATCGTTCACGTACGGTAATCATCAACCTATTTCACTGATGCCGTGGTTTTATTTGGACTGATATCTTACCCTTTTTTTCCCTTCCTTTGCTATCAAGTTTCCTTGTTCCAATAATCTACCATACTCAGCAGGCTTGCTGAGTTTTCATACACTTTTACGTCGGCAGTTAATTGTTCATTCTTCGAAGACAACATAGAAAAATTCTACACATCTGAAAACTGAAATTTGGGCTACGAGTGCAAATTAATAATAGACTGTGCACAACTTGAATCAAACATATAGAGTCGTAACGTTGACAAAGTGGTATAGTATGAACTCCAACCGTCTTCCTAGTGTATCCAGGCGCCTTTAGGTTTACGTGCGCTTCGAAGTTTTCGGCTTCTTTCTTCGTTCTTTCCTCATAGGTTTCCATTTTAGGCAAGAAAGTCTACGGGAATGGCCGATAGCCGCTGCAACTCGTCATCTTTACTCCAACTCAAGATGTTTGAGGAGTCAGACCAGATAAGACACGGTCTGTCGTTTGCTACAGCACACCTCTTTTGGAGTTTTTTTCCAGATTGGCTTAACCCTAGCTCGAAGGTTAGTCGAAGTACTGTAGTCTCAATAACAAGTAAGTTAAACAAGGAGGAAAAAGCGACAAGGAACTAGTAGCAGAAACTTATATCTGGCAAAAAAGCTATCATCTACTCCATGTCTAGGAGACTCGAAATCGCTTTGCACATTGTCTAAACAAGCACGAAGTTTATCGTGCATTGAGTTCAAACTTGCAATCCTTTTATCTGGGTCACTTGCACCATGGGAACAGCAAAGAACAGGTTCAACCTTGTTCAGACAATGTGTGCAATGCGGTCTTGAGTCTTCTACTCATAGAATACAGAATACGTCGCGTTGCATCATTACTACTGGGAATCGAACGCGTTGAATAAATTGGGTCAAACATGACATTATTTTATGGGATTTATTCACTTGGATGCATAATTCGCGAGTCCTCGAGCAGGAGTTGAGCCAAACCGGGGCGGTATTTATCAATCTCCCTCTCGCTGTTCGGGTGTTTTGCATCGTTATACACAGCCCGGACAAGCGAGAGTGTTATACCCGTACTTTGGTTAACATGGCCCAAACGGGCAGCAGAGCTCGATCTGTCGCGATCGCGCCTGCCGTGCCCGACATGGCCTTAGCAGACTGGACCCTTGAGCCCATGCACTGTCCTAGTGTGAGGTCCAGATAGTATGGTGATGGAAAATTCTGATAATTATCCAGCCTTCTATTTTATGCAACTTCATATGTATTGTTTTCATTCAGTCAAGAAATAAGATTTTTTGACAGATTTGCACATTTCTGCTGTTTTGACTTGTCTCTGTGCTTTGCATTTGACTTGTCTCTGTGCTTTGCATAGTGCGTTACTGATATTTAGGACGTATTGGCCCTTTTTCGGCACTTTTCAAAAAAAGTGACTTCAAGTCTTCAATTTGACTTCACTATTGTTGACAGGTAATCACAAGCGCATATCATTACAAAAACTGTGTTCGAGGAACGAAAAGAAAGAAAAAACCTTAAAAACAATTTTCAAATGTTTGCGATATACAAAGTTTACGCCAGCAGGCATTTCTGATATGCGCACCGTAACCCTGACTGCTTAGCAATCTGTGACACTTTGATCTACATTTTGCAAAGTCATCAATTAGCCAAAACAACCGGCAGCGAACCACTATCTTTACCTTTGTTTCTCTATTCTTTGACACAACAAACTTCTATTTTTGTTTTGACAGGTTTTTTCAGCTTATGTACTACCTTATTATAGCATTTTTACGTTCGCAATAACAGTTTTCCCACTAAATTTACCATTGTTTCCAGAAATGTTTGGAAATCGCATCCGAAGTTCCCTAATTCCGTTCCTGCGTCGTCAAGCACAATCTTCCAATTCGGTCAGAATGTGCTATGATGTGAGAAACAAGATAAGCGGAGCCTATAATCCAGTGCTTAAGGTTTGTCCATCTTTAGACGGACAGAGAGAAATTAGAAGCCCCTCCCGGATGAAACGGGTTACGTAACTTACCGGTCTAAGGTTTCGGTTTCAAAAAAGAAAAACAATTTCTAAGAAAAAAATATCTCGTTCTATTGTTTTGGATAGTAATCCTCGACATTTCTCCTTTCCATTCCCTGCAAAATTTTTTTTTTAGAGAGATGGACCATCCATAGTGAAGAATGGGTTCCCAGCATTTTTCACTAGACCAACTTTTGAAGAGCAAATCAAAGCAGAAAGAACACTCAACGATACGGGTTAGCATTTTTTTCTCCTTTTTTCGAATACAAAAATTGATTACAAATTTAGAGCTTGGAGTGATTCCAACAAAGCTACAAAGAAAGCTTCTTATTTTGATGAGAGTCTATGACACCCAAGCCGACATTCCACCTTATGTGCCGTAGGTTTTTTTTCAGTTTTTACTTCTCTCTCTAGCATTGCATGTACTGATTTTTTCCTTCAAAATTTGTGTAATTTTTAGGCACGGCACCATGAATCGCATGCACAGTCGACTTCGTCTCTTCACAATATTCCTTCCTGTCACCTTCCTTATGGCTTTTGCATTCCGTTACAGGGAAAAATTTCATTGACCTCAATTTTTGGAAGTTTTATTAGAGTTTAGAGGCTTTGAGTTTGTTTCGTTTTGTTTATTGATTTTAAGGCTCGTCTTTGGGAATGTTTCCGGTGTACTAAGATGTTGTGATGTTTTATTTTATTCATCGGTTCAATAAAGAGTAAATTTTCAATGCGTAGAGCTTCTTCAAAAGGACAAAAGCTTTCACAGTTACGAACAATCAGTGTAATTAGTTCACGTCTCTGATTGAAAACAAGATAAACCAAGCAGTAAAAATCCAGGCTGCATAGTGTACAGTCCTTAGGGGCAGGGAGACATCCAATGGAGTTAATTTGAGCTTCAGAACTAAAGCTTTGAGCTCAACTCAGAAATTGATTCAATTATCCAAGCCAAAATTAGTGACTTGCAGAATTTTATGATTCTTGTATATACCACTCCTCATCAATTTTTTGATAAAGTAAAAAAATTCGAAACGTCTGCTACTAAGAACAGATTACACAATATAACTCAAGACTACTCACCTCCACACATCTCCCCCCCCCCCCCATCCCACATTCCGCTATTGATAATATGAGATGCACTTATATATGAATACCAGTGCGCCACCTCTGCTTCGCAGAGGCTCGCACTGGTCCTACTTCATATGCCTTGTTCACTCTTGACTAATGCTGGCAATGAAACTCACCGCGCAGTGCCGATTATCGCGAGTAAAATGTAAACAACTACCCATTCCAAATGCTTTTTCATGTGAGGTCGGTGATTTCGCGTGGATGAAACTTTTCGCAGAAGAACAAATGCAAATTTGAATAAGTTTTTGGACTCTTTCTGGCTTGGTAGCTGCCATAAGGACAGTAGGCAACGTGAGCTACATCTCTGTGCAAAATTCTTCTCATATGCTTAGGTAAAACCATGGCAAATTAACCATTTACGCAATCATTTCTTTTTGGCGTCGTTCTCGTAAAGTAGTAAACTTTTGTCCACTTTTTTGGACTAAAGTCCTTGGCTTGCACATCAGCACGCCAAACACATCCCCGACTTTGCAAAAAGTGGTGATACGGAACCAATTTTGCTGGCCAGAACCCAAGTGGTTCCGCTTAACGCGCAATTTCTGAGGGATCCACCCAACAAAACCACTTGTGCTTTTGCATGGTAGGCTCTTATGGTGGTCGCATGCAATGTGCAAAATTTGGGCTCAGGACGTTGGCTGGAACTCGCTCTACGAATTTCGTTACAGACAGACACACAGACATACACACACACACACAAAAACACGTAAACAACCTTAGCCCGTTATTATAAGTTATGATACTATAACGAATAATTGCATTTTAGACTTCCAGTCTGAACTGCGACTTCTCAAAATTTAACTAAGTTCTATTATTTGAGAAATGAAGGTTCAGTTGGCACCAAATCAGCAAACTTTCTGATGCACACTCATTGTCAGCATAATGATATCACTCAGCAGAAAATTTGTATAGACCACGATTTCTTACCAATTGAGGGGAGAAAAATATTGTTATTGTAAAATGTATTCTCGAAAGAAGATAGCTTCCAATGCTTGAATCTCTATTATTCTATAGAAAAGATCATTGAGATCACAAAGAAGTCGAGAAGAACATTTGCAAGGGGTGACAAACAATTAATGAAGCTCTTTTCGCTTTTTGGTTTTGATATGGAGCATGCCCAAAGTCGGAAACGAGTATATGTATCTGATTGTGAGTCCAAAATTTACGATACAACGAGCATCAGCTGTTTGGGAACAATCACGTATGTTCACCTTTTTCAAACTCTCATAAAGAAAAAGAGAGGACGAAAACCATTGGCGGAAGATGGCGCACGAGCAATTTTCTGAAAAACGAGGCATGATCACGAGCAAAACACACAAAACACTTTTCCCCTGTTCTTTCAGCCCTAGACATTTCTATTTTTAAATAGTTGCTGTTGTCTCCTACTCCTGAGAATTTTCAGACCGAATAGTCTACATATGTTTCCTTTGAAATCTCGTGACGACGAGTTCACTGCGGTCTTTCCGCACACAGAGGATAAAACCACCCATACAAACAGTCAACACCTCAAGTCTAAGCTCAGTCATTTCTAGTGCCTGGATACTATCATATATAAGCAGAAAAACTATTTGACTAGAGGTAGAAATCAAGAATTGGGAGTGTGTGCATGTTGCGCGCGGTCGCGCCATCGAATGCCCTATAGATGCTGAGTCAAAGAATTCGCGAGCCTTCTGGCAATTTTATTTAGAAAAGGCATCATATTATTCGAATTACCTGATTTTACTATTTTCAAGCATAGAAATAATCAATGAAAGCAAGCCTGTTTTTTCGCTTGTGAGCTTGATTTTCAAGCCAGACTTTATTCGCTTCACTTTTTGCTATTTTTATTAAAGGTAATGGAAAATTTGTGCGTTTCAGTAATTTTCGGAAAGAAAAAGAATGCTATATGCGAAAATCGATTGCACCCGACCGAAACCTTTTTTCATCGCAACCAGCCACGAGTGCTAGTCGCAGAAAAAGTGATAGTGAAAAAAGCCACACATGTGACGGCAAACATTAAAATTTAGTCTGTGAACCTTTTCGGCCGGACTCCGCCTCGTACTCATCTGGTTTCTTCACTTTCACAGGGTTTGTGAGGCTTCTGCTTTCGTCTTCTATTTTTCATTTTTAGCAATCTCAAACAACTCTTCTCATAGATTGCGGTATGTATTCTATAAGGTCTACGCTGGGTCGCCGAACCATCTCTACGTCAGCGCTGAGAAGATGTTATGATCCAAGAAATAGGATCAGCATGGCATATAATGCTACTTTGAAGGTATCTTCCTCGTCAGTGCTTTCTTACTAGCACCGTCAAGAAGTCTCTAACAAAAAAAGATTCTGCTTAAAGTGCACGTGGAAGAAGCTCAATATATTGAACTTCTGTTTTGAGTGATTTGTTATTTAGCAATAAAAAACAAAAAAAATCAAGAAATTTTCTAGAGAGCTGTACCATCAAGTTCTGAGTCTTCAAAACCACTTTTTCTGACGAAAGACTCTTTTGAAGAGCACATAAAATCACAGAGAACGCAAAGCGTTGGTGAAGGTGTGTGATTTTGAATATGTGTTCCGATCATAACTGATGTACGATTTTCAGATTATGGACTAAAACCAACAAAAATGCAAAAATTCTTTCTATTGGCAACTCACATATATGAGAAAGATGCGGATATTCCTGCCTATGTCGCGTGAGTTAAGACTACTACTTAATTGATTTTTTGGACATAATAACTTTAATACATTGATTTGCGAAAATAGTTGAAAATATAAGTTAAGTAGTAAAATACTTGCATTCCCAGCTATTACCAGAACTAAATGCCTATGAGTCGTGATGCATTGGAACTGTCTACCTAGATGCAATTATTGATTAACTCACTAGCATCTTGCTAGCATACCTTTCTAGTTCGTTGTTAATAGCATATTCATTGTGCGCACGTAAGCACAGCATGACCACTTTACAAAAAATAATCTCACTGAATGAATCGATTTTTTTCACGGTTTAATAGATGATTCAGACTCTCCTTTTTTTACAGATGCACAACATTGAACAGAATGTATGACCGCATGCGAATTCTGACCAGTACCTTTGGTATAACACTATTCTTCATCGTGCTCTACTGCTGTCAACTAGCCAGCATTAATAAGATCAAACAGGCTCGGGAGGATGCAGGCTACAAGATGCACTGACGAAAATGTGATAGTATTTGAGTTATTTGTAAGTCAATATGCATTTGCACACCATGCGCGCTGCTTGACGACTGGTAAGAGCAGAAGTTGCCCGATCCCAGCGTTTTCTTCTTATTCTTGTCTCTTTTGGTTTGTTTGGATTGCTTCAGTTACAAGGTCACATTTCTTCAGTTTACGCTAAAAAGTATATGTCGTTATTTGTTGCGTGTAGTGTGCAGTAAACTTCGCAGTGTAATTCTTCCCGCATTAAATTTGTATCTGAGCATCAGAGGCGTGAGTCATTGCATCCTAACGATATCACAGTTACCAGACTACCCTTTGATTCAACGAGATTGGCGGATGGAAGGCGACCACGCGCGCCCGTGACGCAGTCTGCGTCTCTCTCGCTAATAAGCTCTCCGATCATTCTCCCTCTAACCTTTGATTAGGTCACGAAGCCCGCTCTTCCAGCCGCCAATCCAATATCAAAGGTTACTTTATCCAGGCTTTTTGTTTGGACTTTAAATATTTTTTTAGCAGTACTGTTCGGTGCTGTTTGTCATCCGGATGTAATTTTGATCAAAGATATTGCATCTCTCCTTTGCCAGTTGAATTTCCCAAGATCGTGTATGATTCAAAATAAACCATTTGTACAGATTTTTAACAAATAGGTTTTCAGAAACATATCAAGGTTGTATGTGTGTAATCGCACTACTTTTCGAGAAAAAGTGGAAAGAAAGCATAAAAGGAAAGCATATCTTCCGGTCTGGACTCGCCAAATCAACATTAAATGCTTCTAATGAATATTTGCAAATGATTAGCAAATGAGCATTGTTAACACAGGATTTAATACTTGCTAATCACTTTCATTAATTTTTTTTCGGGACCTGAATTGTCGGTTTTCAAACCTTCGTAAAATCGTGCACAAATAATATCCCGACGCTTTAGAACATGTATTCTCGATGCAGCTTTTCCTTTTTTTTCTGATGGTTACATTTTTGAATCATAATCCCATTAACGCTTTTAGATAACTGCCAAAATTCTTCCTTCCTCATTTCTATCTGTTCAAAGTTTGGTTGATTTGAGCTTCGAAAAGGACTAGGTATCACAAACAAAGTTAATCTCGGGCTATATTGTAATGCCTTTAAATTCTTCCCATCTGCTGTTTGGCGCATCGAAAAATTATTTCTATAGAGATCTCGATTTTTGGTAAAGATATGAAGAGCGCAACTGCAGCAACAACATAAAAGCTTTTGGAAGTTCTGCGAGTTGAGGCTTGATTGTTTAATCATTTTTGCAGAACGGCTGACGTTGATTTACTTTGATAATCTGCTTTTTGGCATGTTTGGCACTCATTTGTGCTAAACGTGCTCAGAAAGCAAGGGCTTTTCCAAATAAATAATTATTACAAACCTTAAAAGCTTCATCCAAGTAATCCAAAACAAGAGTAATGTAGCCAAAGTACTCGTAACAGCTAACAGTGCTCTTTCAAATGGCTAGGACAGAATTTTTCAAAAAGGAGGGAAAACTTGGCTTCATTGCTGGATTGCTCAGAAAGTCATGGCGATAACATGGCAAAAACGGCAATAATCAGGGGAGATTGTGATTATCAAAAAGAGTATTGAAATTCGAATTGGCACTTGAAAAAATTCTTACTTGAGCTGTTTGCCGGTTACTGTTCTTTCAGTTGGTGAGCAGTCCAAGAAACGGACAAAAGTTTTGGGACAGCATAGTATGAAAGCGTAAGACATAGTAAAGGTTCTGATCGAAGTCTGAGTAAGAAGAAAAAATCACACAATCTGCGCCATTTTCACAGTTTAAATATTCGAATTCTAAAATTCTCAACAATTGCTGTCACTAAGGGAACTTGGTGAATCCGATCATCGGCAAATGTCCATCCAAAATGGAACTGGGACACTAATCAAACGAGTTTACTTAGTTTTAGTACTGTACCAGAGGTGGGAAAGAAAAAATAAACATGATTATTTCCCTTTCTATTCTCTTAACAGTAATGAAGGAATCTGGAAAGTTTACTCGATATAATTACTGGAACAGAAACAAATTTACTTAATTGCAAATTTATGATCTGATATGTTTGCAAATGCTTGCACTAATTCGTTTTTCCTAAGATCAGCTGCCAAATGACAAGCTCAACTGCCACTGTTAAATGGCTATCAATCAGCTGGTCGGCTCATTGATTGCAAGTTGACTCTCGATTTCTTTTGCTCGACTCATGTTTTCTCTGTTACTGCTAATTTTTGGTAAGCTTAACATTTTTTCGATTTCTACGTTGAAATCATATCTTTACCATTGTAGCACTCCTCCCATCAGCTTTCACCTATGTTCGAGTAGTAGGCAACCTTGCCTTGGTAGCTCGTCCGGTTGGACATGTAGGTACCGATGCGTCTCCAGTACAGTCGAACGTTGGAGAGTTCTGGTAAATGCTAGTTTTTTTTTCTTGAGATTCGAGACATTCTAATTTTGAAACTTCAGGTGTGGTCTCGAAAAAGTCGGTGAGGAAATACCAGTTGAATATGGAGAATTCACCCGTCTTCGAGATGGGAAGGTATAGCTGATGTGTGCCAAGTGTTTTGCTAACTGGTCGTCTATTCTCAGGTATTCGAAGGAACAGTAAAGGATAAAAAAGCGAAATTGCATTTTGGGCGAGCTCCCGCGACAGTTGCCGGGAAATACTTATGCGAAGTTCGTGGAGAAGATGGGCAGATCCTGAGTGGAAACATGTTTGTCTACTGTAAGTCAAAACTTCTCCTCCATATCCGTAAACGAGACCTGTAATATAAAAAAGCTGACAAAGATGAGAATCTAGTCTTTATGTGAATACTCACTGAAAATAGCCATAGCCCGAATGGCAGCCCATATGAATCATTTGTAGACGAGAACGTTAAACTTGAACTCCTGCCCACTACCGTATTCGAAATGGCGCGTTCGAAAAGATTACGGTAGTGGGCAAATCGTTTCAATCAATGCCACCAATAAATTGCGCGGACTGCCTTTGCGCAATGGCTCAATAGCTGCCTAAACCTTCTCCACAATTTTTTAGCTCCCCCTGTGCTTCGGCTTCCAACTGGCTCCACTTTTCGCGAAATATGGGGTGCTCGACCACCAAAAGTGATTGGAGGAACAAAAACGGTCAAACGCGGTAGCAGCATTGAGCTACGTTGTCCTGTCTTTGGTTATCCACAACCTTGGGTTCGATGGGAAAAAGATGGAGCGGCGATAGGTTCGTTAACCGTGAAAAGCTCTTTCCCAGCAAGATAGTTCTTTTTAGAACCAAATCCTTCGCTTACGTATGATGGTGACAATATCGTGATTTCTCATATGGAGCCTGATTTAGCCGGTACATACACATGCATTGCTGATAATTCTTTTCCAATGTTCGTCGACGGTCCATCAATGCCGCACTCACTCGTTTACGAGCAAAAAGTTGTCGTTAATTAGTTGATAAACGAAGTATTTTTGGTTGTTTTCGAGTTAACAAATAACATTATACTAGATCAGTTCTATGTTAGGGATCACATCAAACGAGCTGGACGTACAAGTAACAGACCTTTGATGTACTAGGGTGTCTCATAATCTTTTCCTTTTTTACTACAGCCGTCGTCTTTTTATATCTTTCGTTATCTTTCGTTCATCTGATGTGGCTTGAGTAATCATTCGACAGGGCAAAGCAAGCTTTACAAGATGGCTATCAAAAGTTTGCCCATATCGTTCCCATTTGAAGTTTCAAGCTGAAGTCTAATAGTAGTCAGAAACGAACTTTTCTGTCAAAAATCGTATCTCCGCCCCAAAGTAGTTAAAAAAATTCTTCATTCATCCTAGCATATGCTTGACACATCCACATTCAACTGTACACTTTCCAAATTTTTTCCATGGCTAACCACATGTAAATGGCAAAAATGAGCCTTTTTTGAAGCTTTCTGTAAATATCAGTATTCAGTGAAAATGCGCCAGAAGTCTTCCGCACCTCCCCTTCCTCCTTTCGACTCCGCCCACTTAACGTGTTTTCCACCGAATGCAGACCTGGAAAGCTTCGGGAGAAACATATTTTCGCCATTTTCATGTTGAACACAGATATGGGTTTCCCATGGCGAAAAAGCCCCGAAAAGGTGGAATATGAAATACGAAATTTTGCCAGGACACTGCATTTGAATTCTAAAAAAATTTTGCAAAAATGAAACAGAGAAAGATGCCTTCAATATTATTTCAGAAAAAAAACGACTTGATGTCAAACTATCCGCTATTCGTTACAAGCAATCTTTATTACTGTTCATCCGATGTACAATTTTGCGTACAAAAATTTAGACAATCTTTATTAGTCACAAATCAATCTGTATAAGTCACATTGAGCATTATGGTTTCTTCCTGTTGACCGGATTCGCCATTGAAAACGAAGATCAGTACCTAAACAACACATTCATCAATCGGTAAGAAGTGTGCATCAACACCGATAATGATAGAATTGCTCTCAGTTGGCTGGTCAGTTTGTGTAATCACACCACTTCTCATACTTGCAATGGCAAAAAAGCGCAGTCAACGAAACCAACTGCATTTTTGATTTTGGTACTTCCTAGCCATTTTGTGCTGTTTCGTTGTCTAAAATTATTTACCCCATTAGCTCCGAATTCAAGAATGGTGCAATTACACAAAGCGACAGCAGAGTGAGGAAAAGTGTGGTAGAAACAGTGTCAGAAAGAAAGGTCATGATTTTCTAGAAAATGACATAAAACTTCTAAAAAGATATTGCGAATATAAACTTCACCTATTATGGCTAAAGCAAACACATTTTTGTATATTTTTGATACTCTTTATGCATGCAACTAAAGACTGATCGAAGATTCCCCTTTTCTCCTTATTCGGCGACCCTCATCCCTCAATATCTTCTCAACAAATTTCTATATTTGTCACTTATATGTGTGACTGCATGGACTATAAAGCCGTCTTGCAAGACATACCTCAAGCCTGACTGGATTCCGCACCACGTTATGGAAATACAAAGTAATCGCAGTTGACTCAAGTCCAGCGATATTCACCACTTCCTCGCCTACTTCGACAATGTCCGAACGCGAGGAGGACACTCGGAATGTTCTCGGGATACTATACGGATTTGATATCGGAAGTTTCTGAAAAGAGATATAAAATCGATTTTTTGGAAAACAACAACATTATAAAAACAACCTTGGTTATTATGGTGTCCTCGCTGATAGGAATGCGCATGTCATACGTTTTCGAGATATTCGGAGGTTCTGCCTTAGCATGGGCCATCCATATATTCACCAAACGTTTTGAGGAGACGTCTACGGCAGTTAAAATATGGGTCCGGTGGCCTGGATAGAAACTGATTGACATAACGTAGAAAAATGCAAAAACCTTCACAAAAAACTTGTAAGGACTCAAACAAATAAATTTCCTAAGGTGAAAAAAGTTGCGAAAAATTTGAAAGCGAGATAAATTTTTCCTTAAAGATGATAGTTTGAATAGCCATACCTGAATAGTCTGGCACATACTGGAGCATTACTTGATGGATCTCATTGGTAGCCAGAAATGGCTGCTTCGCTATCGTTCGAACGCATGGTGTGGATGAATAGATCTGGACCAGCTCATTCGATGTCTGAGTCCTGCAATCAAAAAAATGAGTAAGGTTGAAAAATCAACACTGTAGATAATTAACGATGACAGCGTCCAAGGAAACATCAATAAGGTTTCACAACTTGGATTTTATGTAGGAGAAATAGTGAAACCGTATATTTTATTCTGGAGTACGTTTAAAGGAGCTGTTCTCATACGTCCCAGATGTGTGTAAACAAACTGCGTCCAGCTCAGACTTATTCAAATAAAAACTAGATGGCTTTACACTGCTCATGTGCACCAAAACGATTACCAATAGACTAACAGTAGCTACATTCTGCAAGCGCAGTTTTACGACACTTCGTAATATTAGAAAGCCATCTGTTCATTCATTATTCCTCCAGCTGATAAACAAACCATTTCCAAAAATTTTCCACATTTGTTTTTTTGTCCAGTCAATTTATGCATATTTGAAAGCTAAGACCCTCATTTTTTTTCATATCCTGTAAACATCCTTTTTTATTACACCTGAGCTTGCTTTGTTATGCAGTGCTTCACCCAAGATATTGTTTTCCCATGGTAAGCATTCAACTACATAAACATAAACAGCTGACTGCTTCTATGGAAGCTCTCTTCTTCGTCGTCAGCTGGTACCAAAGTGAGGAGGAACGAAAATGACACCGCAACTAATAGAACCAACAGCAGGCGGGTCAAAAGACGAAAGTCAGAAATCAAAGACTCTGGAAGGGGAGTAAAGGCATAGAATATAATGAATTTTGCGTAGAAACTATGCGAAAAATGGACCAAAGGAGCGAAGTCCATTTCCAAATGATGAACCACTCATAACTCCCGCAAAAAATTGTAGGTCGAGATAATGATTACTAGATCAAATCTGAGGCGCCACGGCCGCAAAATATCATTCCCTGATGAGAGCAGTATGACATTTGCGGTTGCGCTACATACCGTAACCCCCACAAATGAATTTTCTGGATAGAAATTTGAGAGAAAGAATGCCACCATAGCCGTCGTGACGCAAGTCCGATCAGAAACAGAGTGCGCGAAGTCTGAATGCGCTTTGATTGCGCTTGCGGCCGTTATTTTGCTATCCCCTCGTACCAGTCGCGATGCAACCATGCTGGGAGGAGCTTCGTGATTGGTCCCATCGGAGCCAGACCCATGGACCACAAAAATTGAGGTAGAGATCATTAGGTCGCGAAAAGGGCGCACCCGCGCGGACATTTGCAACAAATCTTGCGCCTTCACCATCATGCTAGTTGTCCGCGCGTGGATGCATCCTATCGGAATCTAATGTCCTCTACCCCAAGATGAACATCGTGCGAGTTAATTGTCGTAGATATGAGCACAACCCATCAGTCACAATTTCTTGCATGAGCCTCTCTAGGGCTGCTTGCAGTGTTCTCCAAGTTAGCGTCATACCAGCACCAATCCAATGTTGTGCTGGCGCCGTGTCGGAACATAACAATCAGTGCGTTGTGCGCGCGCCTGCGTCCCGGCACGGCGCTAGCACGGCGCTGGCACGGCGTCGATACACCCATATGGGCAATGCTAGATGCAGCCTAAGGCACTTATTGAGAAATGACGCCCTTCAGCAAAGCTACCCACAATTTAATTCAATGTAGCATATACAACACTTTTTCAAGAGGGCTATGAACACGCACCACTTCCGCCACTACCCACAAATCTACTCAAGAGGTGACACTTTAACTTCGGATCTCGAAAGTAAAGCTTTTTTGCGCGAGTTTGGCCAATGTTTATCCTTGTGCACAGACAGCGGCTATTGATCACTGCACATTAAGCAAAGATGAATCAGAGATTTCGAGGCACTTCCGCCATCACGACTTTTTTGGCATTTCCAAGAAGCACAGAACCAGGTATCGTTAGTCATCACCCTAGGTGACGTCATGATTTTTGGGACGGAATTTCTCACGCGTAGAGATGCTCTATTTTTGATATCACGTAAGTCAGCTGCTGCCGTGTGCCCCGTGCCATTACCACTCGTTTCCCGCCCACACTCTCTTCACAGTCGAGCAGCACTCTTCCGCTAGCTCTACTCGTACCACATGAGGTGATTTTCTTACTTTTACAGTAACTTCAGGATGACATGCGATGAAAACTTGTGCTTTTTAGTTTAACGGACTATGCATTGGTGCGCGCTAGAAGCGCTGCAGTTCTTCCACGTTCCTCATCGCTCGATAGAAGTTCATCGCGACTTCTAGTAAGTACGGAAAATTACCCTAATTTCACGTGTACAAGGCGCACCTTTTTCAATTTTTCAAATGTCCCGCTCAGCCGCCTCGTTGTGTTTCGGAAAACGAGACTTATGCCGCACGATACTTTCAGGCAGTATACAGCGTTGTATATAGTTTTTTGTTCGCGAAGTCCTTTGCTGTGTTTGGGCTGGTCGATTTTCGAAAAAAATCCCCCGCGCCTTGTACGCGTGAAATTAGGGCATTATTATGGTTCATATTGCGTTTTCGGAGCCTATTATATAATTTTTTTGTTACCCAGAGATTTTTTACTCTTCTGAAACTCAGAGAATGCTCATCAAAAGCCCATCTAGAGCGAAGGTTATTTCGAATAGCGCAGTCAATCAAAAATCAGAGAAGTAAAAACATTTAGCGTGACTTGTTGTGGCTTTTTTAGCTGGACACCGGGATTGGTATATCCTTTATTCGACTAACGTTTCGGCGGTATCGCCTTCTTCAGAGTCTGAAATCATCGAATGCATAAGCGAACTATCCTATCAAAAACCGCCTCAAGACCTAGGAAAACACCCAATGCGTCAGCGAATCAAGAACTCGAAAGTGAACGCAGGATTAAACTAATGCTCACCTAAACAGATGCCGACAAAGTGGTATTGCAGACCACTATACCAGTAACTGAGCTCTTACTGGTATAGTGAAAGTAAGAGCTCAGTTACTGGTATAGTGGTCTGCAATACCACTTTGTCGGCATCTGTTTAGGTGAGCATTAGTTTAATCCTGCATTCACTTTCGAGTTCTTGATTCGCTGACGCATTGGGCGTTTTCCTAGGTCTTGAGGCGGTTTTTGATAGGATAGTTCACTTATGCATTCGATGATTTCAGACTCTGAAGAAGGCGATACCGCCGAAACGTTAGTCGAATAAAGGATATACCAATCCCGGTGTCCAGCTAAACAAGCCACAACAAGCATTTGCAACATGCCGAGATTAATCGAGAGTCGAACTTGGACAATTTAGCGTGACTATTTAACTGTTCCATTCAATCATAGTTGTAGACAGAGTTAAACATTATCTATTAGACCACAAATCTGTTCGATCTTCATTTTTGACTATGCTTTCTTTCAAGCTACATAATTTGAAGGAAAAAATAATATTTCGCCTTTTCCTAGCTTTTTAATCTCTGAAAACCTCACAAACGAGGACTATATTTGCTCCAAACTAAACAGCTTGAGCTCGAGCTGGAGAAAACAATAAGCTATTATTGCACTTTTTGTTTGTGCACATTAATCTAGAGATGACTCTCGGCTTGGAACAGAAAGACTTGAAGGCAAGCCTTGTTTCCTTTCTTCAAGGTTGATTTTTTTGCCTGATACACAAAGACTCTTAATGCAGCTTCTAATTAAAAATCCAGTTGTATCAAACTTTCCTTGAGATTTGCGCGGAAAAAAAAACTCCGAGAGAACATGAAGGCAGTGTCCCAGCAGAATTTGTTTTCCAGTTTTTCCTTTCGGAGCCTTCTCGCCATGAGGAATCCATATCTGGGTTTTTCAGCGCATAAAAATGGCAAAAATGAGTTTCTTTCGAAGATTTCCTGGATTGCATTCAATGCAGAATACGTGTGTGTGGGCAGTGTCCGGAACGAGGGAGGCAAGGCTCGGAAGACTTCTGGCGTATTTTCATTGAATGCGGATTTGAAAAGCTTTGAAAAAGGCCTATTCTCGCCATTTTCATGCGCTGGAAAGCCCAGAGGATTCCTCATGGCGAAAAGGCTCCGAATAGGAGGAAAATATAATGGATATGTTGCCGGAAAGGGTAGTCCAACGCGGGCATCTGCGTTAGACTACGCGGTTCCGGTTATTACAGACAGGACAGATTTGTACCAGAGGGGGGGGGGGGGAGGGGTCGCGAGGGGTGGAGCCTACTAGCGACATGTAGCCCCTACTAGTGCTAGACAGTTCATAAATACGATATTCAAAGCCTTCGTGACAAGATCCGTCGTGCTGCCCATCTAGATTCTCGTTCAAGCTTCTTTTATAAATGCTGAAAACGTCCTAATTTGGTCTTTCTCACGCCGTCAAAAGCCCATATTCGAGCTCAGCGACTGCAAGAAAAACCCCAGAAACAGCAAGGAGGTCAAAATCGAGGATCCGCCGGTTGAAATGAGAACTCGTTTGAGAAAGCCATTTTCACGAAATCTAAACCGAGTTCTTATCGCAGGTTTATCCCGTATGATGCTACGGGATAAACCCGTATGATGCTAAAGAATGGAACATATATTACACCAGTGCGTCACCTCTGCTTCGCAGAGGCTCGCACTGGCTCTACTATCTATGTGCCTTACTCATTCTCGTAAAATCGTGGCACTGGAACTCACCGCGCTATGCCGACTACCATGAATAAAATGTAAACAATCACTCATTTAGAAAGTTTTTTCACGTGAGATCGGTGATTTCGCGTGGATGAAACTTTTCGCAGGAAGACAAACGCAAATTTGAATATGTCATGGCTTGGTAGTCGCCATAGAGGTAATAGTAGCCGTGAGCTACATCCCTGTGCGAAAATCTTCTCAAACGCCTAGCTAGAACCTTGGCAAATTGACCATTTACACAACCAATTCTTTTTGGCGCCGTTTTCGTTATATAATAAACTTTCGACCATTTCTCGGGCTAAGCTCCATCGCTTGCACATTTGCTTACCAAGCTCATCCACGACTCTGCAAGAAGTGGTGATACGGAACGAATTTTGCGGTACAGAGGCCAGGTGGACCCGTTTGGCGCGCAATTTCTGAGGGATCCACTCAACGAATTTACTCATGCTTTTGCAGGTTGAACTTTCATGAAGGTAGCATGCGCTATGCAAAATTTGGGCTTAGAACGCTGGCGGGAACACGCTCCACGAATTTCGTAACAGACACACTCTCACACACACACACAGACAGACACACACACAAAGTCACGTAAACATCCTTAGCCCGTTATTATAAGTTATGATAATCTGCACCTTTTCTGACCATCCGCTAAGTTCTACATTAATACTTAACGCTCAAAATTCCAGGTGACTCGCAGTCACTCAGTTAGTGATCTCAGCGGATACAATCGTTGGAGCGACATATACAAGCCACAATGGCATACTGTGTATCAGTATACACCATACAGATGGCGCCGTGATTGGGAACTGGTACGTGATTGCAGAAAATTTCTTCGAAGTAGGAGAAACTAATAGCTGCGATTACAGTACGACGATTACTGGTACGATCGCTACTATTACTACACTCCGCTCTACAATCGCTATATCTCGCCATATAAGCGGTATTATTACTACAGGTATGAAATCCATGTCCTAATCCGTAACGTCCTTATCAGTAACTAATACCTAACCATCTTACAGTGATCTCATACCTAGTTCATATTACTGGACTCCATACTCAAGTTACTGGCCTCGTTACAAGAGTTATTGGTAAGTTTGAGTAGAGTGCTCACTAATCAGTCGTAGTTCAGGTATGAAGTGGTTGTTTATAAAATAAGTGTTTTGTCGGAGGGTAGGATAGGTTAAATATGGTCAAAATGATAATGCTAAAATTGATTCCTTTCACTCATCCCTCCCCTTGAGTCATAAATTCTTCAAGCAACCCAAACCACCAACTTGGTACAACATTTATCACATATTGAATAGGGTGACTTTGTTATTTTGTTACCTAGTAGCAAGGCTCGGCACGAGCTGGCACCAGGGGATTTTCAAAACGAAGTCCCCCTTGACCCTAAACCCTAAACCTTAGAAAACCGTCAAAAAACGAAACGTTGACTAAAAAAGTCGCAATTTGTCGATAAAAACGATATCCCCTTTGCTTTTTGTTCCAAAAACGATATCCACCTTGTCTCGTGCCAGCCTGGTGCCAGGCCCTGCCTAATAGTATCTTACTCGACTGACGCTTACCACTGACCGTTTCAGGTACGACTATGACAGCCCTTACTATTATCGCCGTTACTATGACCCGTATTATAGCGGATACTCCGGCGAAACGTACTATCCGTATAGGTATCGGACTTACACACCCTACAGGTACTTCCGGTTGGCTACAGATCACGCGTACGTCCGATTCATGTCTAATTCTAAGTCTTAAATTTCTCTTTCAATAAATCTCAAAAAATGTCAACCATCATGTCTGTTTGTAGGCAACGACCCTTTCTTGAACTGATGTGGCGCAAGCCCTACAACTAGGCACTCCTCTCTGTTCATTTTTGAACATATCGTTCATCTAGTATACCAAAGAAATGTTGCGCACCACAATTTGAGCTCAAATTGGTAGTCTTGCCTTTCTTGTCTAATCCATTTAAGAACCTTTTACTGCCTCTACCATGCACGAAACTGAGCTTCCAAGGTTCTGGCTGATAGACCATCCGCTTGATCCAATTATTTAGTAAGCTAAATCCAAACAACAGTGGGAACGCTTTTAGATACCAAAAAAAAACTCGACAGCTATCCGAGACATTATTAACTGACTTTTCAACGTGGATCTCATCCCAAAAATAAGATCGTCTCAGTTGCTTGAAGAAAAACAACCCAAAAGAAAAACTTTCTTTTCCACTACAAGTAAAACATTGAGAATGTCTCGTTTGTATGTTGTCCTTCCTTACTACATGTGAGAAAATTTATAATTTTACACTATTGCTTTTTCTTCCAGATCCTACCTATTGGATTCGCTGTCAACATCTCTTGCCCGTGGGTTGAGCATGTATAAGGAAGGTATCGTATAATTAGTAGATTATTTCAAATGCTGGGAAAAGATAAAAACAAAGAGATTTTGGATTGCATACCAGAGAATTTTTGAAATAATCAAACTAACTTTACGTGCCTGCCTTAGTGTTTATAATTGATCTAACATACGAGTGCTACTGTTACAGTTAAAGCGCTCGATTATATCATATTTCTTCATTTAGGTCCTCTATGGTACTACTAATCCATTTTCACCACTATACCTGTACACTAGATATTGAAACAAAGGTCTGTCTCTCAAATTTAGAAGTTATAGGAGGTAGTGAAAATATAAGTGAGCAGGCACGTCTAGGTAACTCAATAATAACGCCGGTCCAAACCTTACTAGAATCATACTATTCTATAATCGGTTTTGAACCAGATTATATTTGTTCAATATGAAAACAACGGTGGCACATTTCTTTGCAAAATAAAAATATATAAAACAAAGTAACACCAGCCTGAATCATACCAGTGTTCTGAAATCTGATTCTGAACCAGATTATTTTTTTTACACAACAACAATGGCACATTTCTCTCCAAGATAAAAAGAAATCAAAACAATGGTAGATTTTTCCTTGTTTTTTGAAATAAAAGAACCATCTATTAGGTGGGTTCAAAAGTCTGTTCGCACTATTTTTCAAAAAATCGTAACTCTCTGCTTTCTGCCTGAATATGCCTGTATAAATTTTTTAGAATGAAGAAATCTTGTGATCACTCTAATTTCGATAGTTCTAAGCAATCTCACCGAAAATTCAAAAACGCTATAAAAATAGCGAAACGAACACAAATATGTTTTGTGATCTCCTCTTTCTGCCCAGGCAATTCGTGCTGAACAAATGTCCTTATGTTTTTCACAAAAATCGACACGCTCTGAATCGGCACGAATTCCGCTTAGCAAAAAAGAGGAGGTCATAAGACCTACGTTTGTGATAGTTCCGGCTTCCGCCTTGGCGTTTAGATTTTTTGAGCATGCTCAAAAATTACAAAATTAAAGTAATACTCTTCATTCAGTTCCAAGACTTTCAAACTATCTCATACCAATCCAGAGGAAAGGTGTTGCAGTAATTTGCAAAGTTTTTTCTTTCGAACAGATACTTCCAGAATTTTTCGTGAACCTGCTTGAAAATGCCGATCTTTAATAATTTCCTTCAATTGCTTCTAACTCTCAAACTTTCTCATAGTGATTCATGGCAGAGGTACTGCTATAAAGGGCAAGGATTACTCCTCCAAACACATAATTTCAAGAAAATCCACTGAGAAAAAGGGAAAGATTTTTCAAAAACCTGGTGAAAGAACCTTTGAACCCATCTTATATAATTGGAAACAGTCCAAAAATGACTTTTTCATGACAACTTCTAAAGAAAGGTCTTTGACGGTAAAACTTTTCTGCACATGATATTCCAGGCCTTATACCCTACCGAACGCTTCAAACTTACTGGCTGACTCCTGAATACTGGGATAGACGATTCAAAGACTGGCAAGAACTTTACTACTCAAACAAGGACATCTACCTGCCAACAACTCACGATCGAAAGACTCGTTCATACCTTGCTAGTTGGACTAGTTAGCTACTGTCATTGACTTCAACTCCTCCCCGTGCATTTTCTTTTTTTTTTACTCGATCGATGTTAGCGACTATGGCACTATATTGGACCATAATCATAAGATAGATGCTATATGTAGCTGAATTGAAGCTCGCTTCAAACTTCTCTTGAGTGCCATAATCGCTAAGCTCTAGCGATGGTGCTCGCTTTCATACGAGTGTTAAAGTCTCTATCCTCTCGATTCTTACTGCTCTACTGCGACTTACAATACTGCCATTTTTGAAGCATTTTTACGGGCGGAATAGACTAGTGCCCGTTGTAGCAAATGTTATTCGGTGAAACGTAAAAGTAAATATTCTAAAAACTGATACAAAAGAAATAAGCTCAGTTCAAAATTACAGAAATAAAAAACAAATAGGCTGCATGTGTACCAAGACCTATCAATAGAGTAATGATCTCTTCAAGCTCTCATTCTGCAAGTGCACAAGAAATACAATGGTTTCGGTATGTTTTCTACACTATTCGGTTTCGGGGATTAGAACTATACCGGTAGTGAAACTTCCTTGATACCTTCGTCAGTAGTTCCTAAGGAAGCTTCAAAATTAGCAATTTCCAAATCTTGGAAGTATGAAAAGTTGTAACTTTGTTGGTTGTGAGTTGTAACTTCTCGTACTTCCAAAATTTAGAAATTGCTAATTTTGAAGCTTCCATGGGAATTACTGACGAGGGGTACCAAGGAAGTCGCACTACCGGTATAGTTCTAAGCCCCAAAACCGGATAATGTAGAAAACATACCGAAACCACTGAAATTCTCGTGTTCTACCCAGTTTTTATCAATTTTATCAGACTTTTATTACTAAAACCACAATATGTCTTATTAGACGCAGCTGTCAGCAAAACTTATATTGAGAAAAGTCTTCTTTCAACAGAGCCGCTCACAATTCAACGCAGTGTAGTACTTCACTTTTTCAAGAGGTTCATAAACTCACACCACTTCCGCCACTGTCCACAAATCTAATCCGAGAGCTGACTATTCAAAAATCCGGATCTCGACTAAAGAGCTTTTTTTGGCGCAAGCGTCGCCAATGTTTATCTTCCCACAAACATGATGGATATTGATCATTGCACATTAGGCGGTGATATATCAGAGATTTCGCGGTACTTACCCTAGATTTACAATTTTCGGCATATTCCGAGAAGCAGCAGAACAAGTATCGCTGATCATTACTCTATCATCACTCTCGCTACTGTCATGATTTTTCGGAAGGCAAATTCTCACGCGCAGAGGTGCTTTATTTTTGATATCACACAAGTCAGCTGCTGTCGTGTGCCCCGTGCCATTACCACTCGCTTCCCGCCCATACCCTGTCTTTACAGTCGAGCAACACTCTTCCGTTAGCTCTACTCATACCACATGAGGTAATTTTCGTTTTCACAGAAACTTCAGTATGACATGCGAGTGGAAATTTGTACTTTCAGTTTTACCGACTACCGATTAGTGCGCGCTAAGAGCGCTGTTGTTCTTCCTCGCTCTTCATCGCTCGAAAGAAGCCCATCGCGACTTCTAGTAAGTGCAGTGTACACACGACTCTTTTTGATTATTATGCCATCAAAGGAGTGATGAGTAACAGATTTTGATATTCAAAATGCTACTTTCTGTTGAAGATCTATTCTATTATAGATGAAAAGTACTCTTGAAGAGCCAATGACATAAAAAAACTGATGCTTCTCTTGGAACTAAAACTCAAACAAAAAACATAGAAAGTAAAAAAACGGGAATTTTAATACATGCCTGTTCAACTGATTTCATTCCACATTTATTTGATACAAATATTTGTGAGAATCTCTCACTGCATCTAAAAAAAATCAACAACTCTCACTAGTAAATTACCTCATTCGCCTCAGATGAAAAAGACCGATTAGACTACCAACTCAAATACCGCTCATAGTCACAATATTTCTTTGATGGAGGAAACAGTCTAATAACAGCGTACCATGTATAATCAAATTCTATCCCATTTTTCTGTGCCTGAAGGTTATAGAGGAGGATTGGGTAGCCACAAAGCATCTATTCCAAAAGAGAGTTGTTGAAGGCATTATCCAGGGGGTGTATGTCAAGAGGCGCGATTTTTATTGCCAGCTGGACACCAAATAGCACATAATAAGTGTTTTACAACTTTCTAAAAATATATGAAATTTAGAAAAAGATATATTGGATAGTTGCATGGGCTGCTCAGCCTTTATACTCAGGAAAAAATTCATAACAGCAATTTTTGAGGTCAAAAACCCATGAAAATGCATGTAAGAACAAATTCGTAGGTATTTTAGTCCGTTTTACAGCAAAAACTATGAAAATCAGCAAGTGGTAACCTTAGACAGATAGTAAGCAAACGCACTTTATCTGGTAATTTTTAGAGACTCGCATAGCACTAAACTGGAGTTTTGAGTTGGTGACAGCCGGAGAAATCGCGCCTCTTGACCGTCTCCCTTATCCAGGTCGGCTGGGGCGTGTTGGGAATTTGACGCAGCGCGAGAGCGCGGCTCCTGACTGATGCAACAGTTCAAGTCCGATCAAAAAAAGATGGTTTGTGAAGCTAAAAAATCGCTTCAGAAAAACGGCGGTACGCTAATCCCTCCTTCTTGACAAGTTTTGACGTGGCGAGTGCTGTAGATCTAATGTATTAACCACGTCAAAACTTATCAAGAAGGCGAGATTAATGCACTGCCCCTTTTTTCCGAAGCAATTTTCTCGCTTTAGAATCCATCTTTAGTCAAGAGCCGTACCCCCACATTACGTCAAAATCTCGCCACCCTCCAGTTGACGTGGCCAATGCTTCTAAGCTAGCGGTGCTGGCTGAACAGCTTAAGCCTGAGCTTGAAGAAACAAATCAATGAGCTATCACTGCTGCTTGCTTATCACATTGACATAAAAATGCTCCTGGCTAATGAAAGATAAAAGTATAAAGACTAGCTTTGTTTTCTTTTCTCCAATGTTGATTGTATCCAAAACACGGATAACTCTTGATCCAGTTTCTGATTAGCACTCAAATTACATCGTACTTCTCCTAAAACTTCCACAAAATATAAAAAAAACTCCCGATGATAGTCAAAGACTTCCACAGAGTATATAGAACATCAGTAAATGAGGTGTCAATGCATAAACCCTTTTCACATGACTTTTCAGTTTCTAGAATAATTTGAAATGGCCGAAAGGACTGCGCGAAGCTAGTCACGAGGATGATTTTCAAAGGACACATTCCATTCACGCAGTTTCTCAGCACCTCGGCATGATTTGGCAGATATCTTTCTCGTTCATAGCAGCACAAGCTTGGTGATATGTTGCTATAACGCTTATGTTTCATTTCTCTCACATCGCGCCCACGCCTCCTCGAGATAGTGATGCACCGCCCAATGAAAGATTTCTCGGAATCATTTACCTGTTATCGAACCACGATTTCTCTCACGAGATTTCTCTTATAAAGCAGGAAGCACAGGAAGTAAATAAGGGGTTTCGATGTCAAAGCAACCAGAAGTGATTAGGTCAAGATATCACTGCTTTTGGCAGCTTATAATAGTAGACCACCTGTCGAGCCTATGCCCAAGTCGCGGCGCACAATGTTGCTTCGGAAGCGAGAGAATTGCTTCGGAACAGCGAATATACATGAGGACCCCAAGCGGCACCGGCCCCCTCCAGTAATGCCCGCCCATCCGTCAACGTTCCATAAAGCCGGCCTGCTGGTTTTCCGGAACGAGGATGGTCGGGGTTTTCGCGGACTCAACTTCATATTCCCAATCAAGTACATGAGAAGGCCCCGGAGCGTTCAAATCATGGATGTCGAGAAACTGGGTGGACGCTGGCTTCAAAGGCAGTCCAGAAAAACCGTGTATGGGTTTTTTCCCTGGAAACTGATGAAATTCCCAGCTAAGGCATTGCCGAAACGATGGCGCAAATGATTCATTCACAGCTCCACCCCAAACTCGGATTACGGTCACGGCGTGGACGCGGAGGGATTGGGACGAATTTCTCAGCCATAATAAATTATTTGCGAAGCCGCTTGTGGAGTGCCTTAATTAGGACCCCCTCATCAGTTTCCAGGTGATAAACCCCTGCGCACAGATTTGCCTGGACACTACCTTCACGCAGATTGGGACGCGCCGATGTCACTCTCTGTATGCGCAGGGCGATCATCCCAATCGCGCATAAGTCTTGTTAGCCAGTGCAAATTCTCACGCTTTCCAAAGCCCACATTCGGGTTCAAAATGTGATGAAAAAGCCAGAAACCGCAAAGAGGTCAAAATCGAGGACCTGCCGGAACAATGCTTTTGAGATAGGAACTCGTTTAAGAAATCCTTCTTGTTGGAGATTACCGTAATTCTACCCCATGCATACGGTAGAATTACGGTAATCCTTATCAGATGCTAAAAAGAAAAATATGTTATCTCCATGATCGGCATTTTCTATCCAAGCTATTTGTTTACATTACTACTTAATGCTCAGTATTTCAGGTAACTCGCAGTCGCTCACTTAACGATCTTAGCGGATACAATCGTTGGAGCGACAGATACAAGCCAAATACCGTTGTGTATCAGCATACACCATACCCATACAGATGGCGTCATGATTGGGTATGTGATTGTAGAGAGGTTCTCTGAAGTAAGGACCGGCTATACTATTCCAGGAGATGATTCGTGCAATTCCTGTAACTCCTGCAGTTTCTGTGATTCCTCAGCTTCCGATGTGCCACACTACGGAGCACTTTGCGAATTTCTACATACATTGTTCTTTCGCATTATACATTATGGGGACCCGCGAAAATCACAGGAATCGCAGGAATTGCAGGAATCACAGGAATAGTATGTCGGTCCCTAAGAGAAACTAGTAGGTGCTATTACAGTACGACGATTACTGGTACGATCGCCACTATTACTTCTCACCGCTCTACAATTCCTATATCTCGCCATATAAGCGATATTATTACTACAGGTAACCCATGTCCTAAATCCGTATATTTTATTAGAAACTTATATCTAACCATCTTACAGTGATCTCCTATCTAATCCATATTATTGGAGTCCATACTCAAATTACTGGACTCGTTACAATGGTAACTGGTAAGTTTGAGTAAAGTGCTAACTCAGCCGTAGTAGGAAGAAGTCGTTGCTTCGGATAACTCCACTGAGTGTTCCAGGTACGACTATGACAGTCCTTACTCTTACCACCGTTACTGGGACCCGTCTTACAGCCGATATGTCGGCGAAACGTACTACCCGTACAGGTATCAGACTTACACACCCTACAGGCACCTTCGGTCGGCAATACATCACGCGGTCGGAGATTCGTGTCTAAATCTACAATACCACCCGTAATTTGTGAAAAAAAAAATGGCGGCGGCACTTAACTCACGCGGCGCCGCCGCAGTTAGGTGACAAACGCCGCGTCGCGCGACAAAAGTCGGCGGAAAAGCGGCATTTGCCGCCTAACTTTTTTATAAAAAAGACTTTATCTTGATCCAAAATTTATGAATTCTATATATAAGAGTACCATGCAACTCAGCTCGGCGAGGCGCATCTTCCAGTATACAGATGTGCCTAGTTGTGGGATATAGGTTTTTTCTTTGGAATTTCAGTATAAATGGATCATTCAGTGGGCTGATTCAAGAGGCTACCTACACATTCTGTTGAGCACTGCAGAAATAGGGTAGGTATAGTTTAAGAGCTCATTCTGCACGGATATGTGTAAAACCGGGCTTTTCTCGGCGAAGTATGACGGGTCCCAAAATGCAGAAAGACAAAAGGGAATGGTTGGAAATCGCATGAGAAGCACATATCGTGAAATGCCGCGCGTGCTGTGCATGTACAATACCACCCACGGAATATCGCAAATTATGCAGCTCCATAACTTCCTTCGAAATAAATATTAGGTCGGTCCGAAAGTTCTGTCGTCATTTTTGAAAATTTGTAACTCTGCGCTGTCCCAACGGATTTCCACCGCTGTAATTTTATTTGAAAGCATAAGTTTTTCGCTTTCGAACACAGTCTTGATTAGCTTCTATTACGCATTGACTGCAGAGATAAAAATGAAAAAGTAAGACCAACTAACAAGGGAATGGTCAGAACTCGAAGTGGGCAATCCATACAAGCCGCATACCATTCGATGCAGCATAGAACGCTGATTTCAAATCTGTCTTTCTTGTCTGCAGAGCGCCTTTGTGAAGAAAGTTATGAGCAGCTTTAATGTGAAAAAATCATACACGAAAACTGCGAAATTAGGCACATTAGTGTTCTTTTACCTCATCTCTTGGTACGGGCCATATGAAGTGATCGAGTTGCATGTTTTGGTCCAACGCTGTGCCGAGAATGGCTTTGTACGGCCAGGTTTACCCTTTACACGCACAATTTCTTAACAAAAATAATGGCTTTAGCGGCTTATAACTTCGTTCACAAAAGTGCTCTGCAGATTAGAAAGACATATTTAGAGTCAGCGTTTCATGCTGCATCTAATGGTATGCAGTTTTTCTGAATTGGCCACTTCGATTTCTGACTATTCCCTGGTAAGTTTTGCTCATTTTAAGTTAGGTCGCCATAAATTTGAAACGCTACAGAAAAATTTGAAAAGTCCAGTATATAAGTTTTTTGACCCACACTTTATGACTGTGGAAAGACTGCGCTGTTTAAACGCCTCTGAGAGAAGTTTTGAATTTCGAGTTAACTCAGAAATCTCCAAAATTAATTAATTTGTCACTTTTTCCGAAATTCATAACTCCTCTCAGAGACGTTCAAACAACACAGTCTTTTCACACTTATAAAGAGTGGGTCAAAAAACGTATATACTGAACTTTTCAGATTTTCCTGTAGCGTTTCAAATTTATGGCGACCTAAATTAAAATGAGCAAAACTTAGTTGGTCTTACTTTTTCATTTTTATCTCTGCAGTCAATGCGTAATAGAAGCTAATCAAGACTGTATTCGAAAGCGAAAGACTTATGCTTTCAAACAAAATTACAACGGTGCAAATCCGTTGGGATAGTGCAGAGTTACAAATTTTCAAAAATGAAACGACAGAACTTTCGGACCGACCTAATATATTCTAAATCCGAAAAGCTTTGTGTTCAGCTCGTCAAGGCGAATCTTTCGAAGTACCTAATGTCATCTATATCTCGTTTCCAGTTTTCTCAAATTTTTCTGAGGACGTCCCTTCGCAAGTATGTAACGCAGCGCCTATCCAACATAAAAGATTACAGTAAGCGCCATTCGATAGTGCCCTTCTTGTACATTATAGTGCACTAGAAAGCTGCCGCAGACTTCTTTCCAAAAGAGAAAGAAGCGTTGGTAAATTCTGGAAAAATCACTCATTTCCCGATTCTACTCGCCGTAACTTTCTTTGGAGTGGAAATTATCCGAATCCGAAAAAAGCATTGTGCTCAGCCCATCAAGGCGAATCTTTCGCTATGCAGAATGTCCTTTATATCTCGATTTCAGTGTTCTTGAAACTTTCTGCGGACGTCTCTTCGCAAAGGTGTAAAGCAGCGCGTATTGCCCCCAGTAGATTCAGAAAGAAATTTTCGATAGTACTTCTTCTGCAAATTATGGGGCGCTAGAACTTAGCCGCACACTTCTTTTTAAAGGAGTGCAGAGGGGCTGGTGAATTCTGGAAAAATCATGTCGTTCTAAATTTTTCTCAACGTAACTCTAAAATATGAAGCTCTCTTGCTAAGCAGATGTGATTTTCGTAATCAGCAGGTCGGATAACCCTTATGAGCAAGTTTTCCGAGATGTTCGGGTTATTTCATTTTTTCTCGTTTTACGCTCTGGAAGCCCGCCGATGGATTTTGGTCAAAATGTTCATGCTCTTAAATTGTAAGGAAACTTCGTTTATAGAGGTTTTCGAACACGCTCTTTACGAAAATCAAGGTCTTTGGGGATTACAGGCTCTTTTTGGTGAGATACGGTGAGGTGACTGTAACTGCATCACGAAAGTGCGTAAATTTGCCCGCACTTCTCGCGTATCTGTCAGCAACCTTGCCTACTTGCTTTTCTCAGTCAAAGTTACTAGGAACTGTGCTACCGAATGGTGCAAGACTCAGGCTCTAGTCTATAAAAATCGCCGAGTTACGAGCCTATGAAAACACGTCCTCATAAATTTTGCCCAAAATGTAAAGATCGCATATTTCGTCGGAATTCCACCGTGAGCGCTTGTATGACACTCGCATTGCGGATATTGTGTTCGCTTCGCCCAAAGACTCCCACTGTATTGAATATGGTACTTGCGTATGCTTCAGCTGCTCAGTTGAATATCAAAGCTATTTCGGTGGCTAGAACTCAAACTACGAAATCTAACACAATAACCATTAAGGACCTAAAAAGATTTTGATCATCGGGTTGTACAAGCGCTCACGGTGGAATTTTGACGAAATCTGCGATCTTTACATTTTGGGCAAAATTCATGAAGACGTGTTTTCATAGGCTCGTAACTCGGCGATTTTTATGGACTAGAGCCTGAGTCTTGCACCATTCGGTAGCACAGTTTCTAGTGAATTTAATCTCTAGACGTAAGCGGGCAAGTTCTCTGACAGATACGCGAGAAGTGCGGGCAAAGTTACGCACTTTCGTGATGCAGTTACAGTCACCTCACCGTATCTCACCAAAAAGAGCCTGTAATCCCCAAAGACCTTGATTTTCGTAAAGAGCGTGTTCGAAAACCTCTATAAGCGAAGTTTCCTTACAATTTAAGAGCATGAACATTTTGACCAAAATCCATCGGCGGGCTTCCAGAGCGTAAAACGAGAAAAAATGAAATAACCCGAACATCTCGGAAAACTTGCTCATAAGGGTTATCCGACCTGCTGATTACGAAAATCACATCTGCTTAGCAAGAGAGCTTCATATTTTAGAGTTACGTTGAGAAAAATTTAGAACGACATGATTTTTCCAGAATTCACCAGCCCCTCTGCACTCCTTTAAAAAGAAGTGTGCGGCTAAGTTCTAGCGCCCCATAATTTACAGAAGAAGTACTATCGAAAATTTCTTTCTGAATCTACTGGGGGCAATACGCGCTGCTTTACACCTTTGCGAAGAGACGTCCGCAGAAAGTTTCAAGAACACTGAAATCGAGATATAAAGGACATTCTGCATAACGAAAGATTCGCCTTGATGGGCTGAGCACAATGCTTTTTTCGGATTCGGATAATTTCCACTCCAAAGAAAGTTACGGCGAGTAGAATCGGGAAATGAGTGATTTTTCCAGAATTTACTAACGCTTCTTTCTCTTTCTGCGGCAGCTTTCTAGCGCACTATAATGTACAAGAAGGGCACTATCGAATGGTGCTTACTGTAATCTTTCATGTTGGATAGGCGCTGCGTTACATACTTGCAAAAGAACCTCCTCAGAACAATTTGAGAAAACTCAGAAACAAGAGATGGATGACATGACGTATGTCAAAAGATTTGCCTTGACGAGCTGAACACAATGCTGCTTTCGTGTTTAGAATATATTCATTCCGAAGGAAGTTATGGCGCTGCATAATTTGCGATATTCCGGAATCGCGAAATTTCTGGAATTTCGCGAAATTCCCGTTCTGTGAGTGGTATTGTACATTGCACAGCACGCGCGGCATTCCGCGATATGTGCTTCTCATGCGATTCCCAATCATTTCCCTTTGTCTTCCTGCATTATGGGACCCGTCATACTTCGCCGAGAAAAGCCCAGTTTCACACATATCCATGCAGAATGAGCTCTTGAACTATACCTGCCCTATCTCTGCAGTGCTCAACAGAACGTGCATGTAGCCTCTGGAATCAGCACGCTGAACGATCCATTTACACTAAAATTCCAGGAAAAAAGCTTGTATGCCACAACTAGGCACATCTGTATACTGGAAAATGCGCCTCGCCGAGCTGAGTTGAATGGTACTCTTATATATAGAATTCATAAATTTTGGATCAAGATAAGGTCTTTTTTATAAAAAAGTTAGGAGTTGCGCGGCAAAGTTAGGCGGCAAATGCCGCTTTTCCGCCGACTTTTGTCGCGCGACGCGGCGTTTGTCACCTAACTGCGGCGGCGCCGCGTGAGTTAAGTGGGGTGTATGTCAAGAGGCGCGATTTTTATTGCCAGCTGGACACCAAATAGCACATAATAAGTGTTTTACAACTTTCTGAAAGTATATGAAATTTAGGAAAAGATATATTAGATAGTTGCATGGGTTGCTCAACCTTTATACTCACAAGGGAAGCTTGTTTAGTCGAAGTGGCATTTCCAAATGAGATGTATACCATATTAAAGCGCATAAAACGATGATTCCAAAACTGTCTTCCTTATCTGCAGAACGTTTAGTTATGAGCGTTTTTCTAAGCCAAAAATTGAATGTGCATTTTGAATAAAATGAGTTGTTAGAACCTTACTAGCCTTCAAATAACGTAACCAAAAGTGGTATAATTTTTGTTTTAGAGTAATTTTCAAGTGAAGTGTTTTGGTGATTATCATTGCTCCGTTGAAGAGCTAGAAAAAGTATTACGGTTATTTTTGTCACACTTGCACATTCAATTTTTGACTCCAAAAAACGCTCATATAGGGGCCTGCAGGATCGCGAGAGTCGGACGCGCTACGGCCTTTGCGCCGCGCACGCCTGATATCGCTGGGTCGTAGTCGATTAAGGCTAGATAGGTAAGTTTTTTTTGTTCTTCTTTACATTTCACGCCTTCTTTTCTTTTCAGACGGTGAGCACATGTTGGTGCGGAGGAGTTTAAGATCTGAATTAAGGTGAGGTGCAGGATTATGCTCAATACGGACTCAATATTGCAGACCTTCCATGCCTGTTGGTTGAGATGTTGGATTTTCTGTCCTGGCTGCCCTGTTACAGCAAACTGTTCTATTTCTACCGTCTATTCTACCTTATCTTGCATATTGCTTGTGATGATGATGATGATGATGACAATGATTATGATTGTGATGACGCGCATGATGCAAGATGAGGTAGAGCAGACGTTGCAAATAAAACGGAGTTTCGTAACCGGGCAGGCAGGACGAAAAATCGAACATAATCGGACAGCCAGAACAGAAAACTCAACATTCTTCAAAGCAGGGGTGAAAAGTCCACAATATTGGCCCGTATTGAGCTTGAGCATAATCCTGCACCTCACCTTAGAATCTTAAACTCCTCTGCACCAACATATGTTCGCCGCCTGAAAAGGAAAGAAGGCGAGAAATGAGAAGAAAAACAAAAAAATCTTACCTATCCAGCCTAAATCGAGTACGACCCAGTGACATATGACGTGCGCGGCGCAATGTCCGTACGCACGTCCGACTCTCGCGATCCTGCAGGCCCCTATAACTTCTCGTCCATAAACGTTCTGCAGATACGGAAGGCAGATTTGGAATCAGCATTTTATGCTCTACAATATGGTGTACATCCCATCAAAAAAGGCCACTTCGACTAAACAAGCATTCCTTGTCAGAAAAAAAAAACAAAACAGCAATTTTTAAGGTCAAAAACCCATTAAAATGCATGTAAGAACAAATTCGTAGATATTTAATCCGTTTTAGAGCAAAAAACCATGAAACTCAGTGAGTGGTAACCTTAGACAGATAGTAAGCCAACGCACTTTATTTGGTAATTTTTAGAGACTCCCATAGCACTAAAATGGAGTTTTAAGTTGCTGACAGCCGGAGAAATCGCGCCTCTTGACCGTCTCCCAGTTAAGTGCCGCCGCCATTTTTTTTCACAAATTACGGGTGGTATTGTACATCTTGAAGTTCTCTTCTAATAAACCTCAAAAAATGTTACCCATCATGTCTGCTAGTAGATAAGTTCATTTCTTAATTAATATGGCGCAATTCCTTTGATTTTGGGCACTCCTCTTCCCTGTTCATTTTTGAATACAACGTTCATCCAAAATACCAAAAATGATGTTGCGCGCTAGGATTCGAGCTCGCAAGTTAGTACTTATACTAATTTACCAAGATGGCCCTGCCTATCTTACCTAAAACGTCCAGAAACCTTGTACTGCGTCCATCACGTACGGAATTGTAAAGTTCCGATGGACTACGCTAGTAGAGTCCCCATTTGATCCATTTACTTGGCCAGAATCCGCATAGTGAAAAGCTTTTGGATACCCAAAAAACTGCACCTGTCCGATACATACACTTACTGACTTTTCAACGTGAACCTCATCACTGAATATGGCAATTTTAGTTGCTTAGAGAAAAACAGCTCATAAGAGAAACTTTGTTTTCCACAACAGGCAAAATTTTGATAATGTCTCGTTTGTTTGTCGTCCTTGTTACTACATGTGAGAAAAATTATAATTTTGAATTATTGGTTTTTTCTTCCAGATCCTACCTACTGGATTCGCTGTCAACATCTCTTGACCGTGGTTTGAGCATGTATAAAGCAGGTATTCTTTAATATTAGTAGTTGATATCAAATACTGGAGAAAAATTGAAAACAACGCGAGTTTGGATACCGGAGATTTTTCTGAAATAATTGAATTAACTTTACGTGCCTGCCTTAGTGTTTGATCTAACGCACGGGTGCTAACAGCTGAGGCGCTAGATCATCAAATGTCTCCATCTACTTCTCCACTGTACCTGTATACTAGATATACAAACAAAGATCTGCCCCTCAACTGAAGTTATACGAAATAGTAAAAAATAACTAAACAGGTACGTCTAGACTCTCAATAGAAACAATGGCGTGAATCATAATATTCTGAAATCTGTTTTGAACCAGATTATATAATTTTGATACGAAAACAACAAATACACATTTCTTTGCAAAACAAAAAATATATAAAACAATGGGAATTTTTTTTCTCGAAATAAAAAAGCTCATATAATTGGAATCACAATCACGATAAAATTGACTTTTTCAAAATAACTTCTTAATGAATTTTCACAATGACAAAACTTTTCTGCACACGATTCCAGGCCTTGTACCCTACCGAACGCTTGAAACTTATTGGCTGACTCCTGAATACTGGAATAGACGATTCAAAGACTGGCAAGAACTTTATTCACCCGCCAAGGACTTCTACGTGCCGACAACTTACGACCGAAAGACTCGTTCATATCTTGCTAGCTGGACTAAATGACTGCTGTTTTTTTTTTCAACTCCTTCTCGTGCATTTTCTTCTCTTATTCGACTGACGTTAGCGATTGTGGCATTACATCGGACCATGTTCACAGAACAGATTTTAGCAGCTAAATTGAAGCTCGCTTCAAACTTCTCGTAAGTGCCATAATCGCTAAACTCGTCTATAGCGATGGTACTTCGCTTTTATCCGAGTACTAGCTGGCTTACCCGGCTCCGCCGTATCCGGACCAAACTTGGCACACATACACTTCGGGCCCCGCGGATGTCACAGTCCACTTTTCGTTATCGATCGATGTCGATTTTATCGATTTTTATCGATTTTTTTTGCAGAGTTTACCTACAGGGCTAGGAGTTGGCACAGGGGGGAAGTGAGCATGGGGATTCCGAATACAATATTAGTTTTCAGAATTATCGATTACTTTTATTGATTTTATCGATTTTTTGTAAATTTTGACATGCGAGACTGGGATTTTGCACAGGGGAGTAATCGAGCATGCTGATTACGAACACAATATTAGTTTTCAGGATCGTCCATTACTTTTATCGATTTTATCGATTTTTTTTGTTAAGTTTGACCTGCGGGGCTGGGAGTTTGCACAGGGGAGTAATCGAGCATGCAGATTACGAATACAATATTAGTTTTCAAGATCGTCCATTACTTTTATCGATTTTATCGATTTTTTGAAAATTTGAGCTAGGGGGCTGGAATTTGGCACAGGGGTGTAATCGAGCATGCTGATCACCCCCCTTGGGGATGATCAGCATGCTCGATTACCCCCCTGCGCCAACTCCCAGCCCCCTAGCTCAAACTTTGCAAAAAAATCGATAAAATCGATAAAAGTAATCGATAATCCCGAAAACCAATATTGTATTCGGAATCCCCATGCTCGATTACCCCCCTGTGCGAACTCCCAGCCCCGTAGCTCAAACTTTGCAAAAAAATCGATAAAATCGATAAAAGTAATCGATAATCCTGAAAACCAATATTGTATTCGGAATCCCCATGCTCGATTACCCCCCTGTGCCAACTCCCAGCCCCGTAGCTCAAACTTTGCAAAAAAATCGATAAAATCGATAAAAGTAATCGATAATCCTGAAAACCAATATTGTATTCGGAATCCCCATGCTCGATTACCCCCCTGTGCCAACTCCCAGCCCCGTAGGTGAACTCAGCAAAAAATCGATAAAAATCGATAAAATCGATATCGATCGATGACGAAAAGTAGCCTATGACACCCGCCGGGGCCCGAAGTGTATGTGTGCCAAGTTTGGTCCCGATCGGTTCAGAAATGGAATTTTCTATTCGGAACATACGTACACACATACATACAGACAGACATACAGACAGACATACAGACAGACAGACAAACAGACATTCAGCTTTATATATAAGATTCATTTATCCTCTTGATTCTGCTCTACTCGACTATCAATACTGCCATTTTTTAAGCATTTTTGCGGGCCGAATCAATATAGTGCTGTAACAGATGTTATTGGGTGAAATGTATGAGTAAATATTTTCTAAAAACTCATACAAAAGAAATAAGACCAGCTCAAAACCATACAATAAAAATCAGATCGGTTTACACTGCTGCATGTGCACCAAGCAAGACCTATCAATAGAATAATGATCTTTTCAAGCTCTCATTCTGCAAGTGCACTTTACAACCATCATACTTCCATGCCACCTAGTATTCACTTCATTCCTCCTGCTGATTCAAAGAACATTTTTGAAAATTTCACATTCACCTCTTTCTTCCCTACAACTTCTTTTTTTCAGAGCTAGAACCTTTTCCTCGTATACTATGTCACCACGCTTCTTTATTACACCTGAGCTAGCTTTGTTATGCAATGCTTCGCTCAGAATATTGTTTTCTCATAGGAAGTATTCAACTACATAAACATAAACAGCTGACTGCTTCTATGGAATGCGCTCTCCTCTTTGTTGTCAGCTGACATTGAAGTGATGAGCAGCACCGCAACTAGTATAGCGAAACGGTAAAGAAAAATTCTGGTGGACATGAGGAATTTGAAGAAGACCCAAGAAAGGGTCTAGAGAACAGAATGAATTTTGTGACTAAAAAAAACTATGCGAAATGATGAAGCGAAAGATCTAATTTAGTTTTTTTTGCCTTCATTTCTTCCATTATCATACGCTTTTTAAACAGCGGTATATAACCCTCCAGCCCTAGCAGACATAGATAGCCTTCCAGACAGAGAATTGGTGAGATAGGCGTTTGGAAGAATATATCCTTTGATTCAACGGGATTGGCGGCTGGAAGGCGACCGCTGGCACCCGCGACGTCTAATCTCTCTCGCGAGCTTGCTCTCTGATCCTTGATTAGGCCTCGAAGCCCCACCTTCCAGCCGCCAATCTCGTTGAATTGAAGGGTAACTCGTACTTGTAGTTGAAATCATGACTGTATGACACTGTGCAGTACTACGCAGATTCCCATTCAGAGCTCAAACTGACTATGATAAGGCATACGCACCGAGCTAACGCCGTGCTAGCGCCGTGCCAGAACCAATCGACCAATGCGTGTTGCGTGCACATGCGTTCCGACACGGTGCTTGCATGGCGCTGGCACACGCACATGAGCAACAATGGACGCGCCCTGAAGCAAACTAATTTTGAAAATACCTCATTTGATAGGACTGCTCACAGTTTAGTGCAGTGTGGCACTTACATCACTTTTTCAAGAGATTTGTAAACTCACAGCACTTCCGCTACTCCACAAATGTACTCCAACGAGTGACTCTTAAAAACGTCTGATCTCGAGGAAGCTTTTTTGCGCGCGTTTCGACGGCGTTTATTCTCTTGTGCACATGATGGATTTCGATCATTGCACATTAGGCAGTGATGTATTAGAGGTTTTGCGGACTTTCCCTAAATCTACGTCTTTCGACATTTTCCAAGAAAGAGCAGAATGAGAATCGCTGATCACTACTCTATCATCAGCCTCGCTGACGTCATGATTTTTCGGAAGGCAAATTCTCACGCGTAGAGGTGCTTTATTTTTGATATCACGTAAGTCAGCTGCTGCCGTCTGCTCCGTGCCATTACCACTCGTTTCCCGCCCACACTCTGTCTTCACAATCGAGCGGCACTCTTCCGTTAGCTCTACTCGTACCAGATGAGGTAATTTTCATTACGTTTACAGTATTTCTACAGTATTACATGCGAGTGAAAATTTCGCTTTTTAGTTACGACTATGCATTGGTGCGCGCTAGAAGCGCTGCTTACCTTCCTCGCTCTTCATCGCTCGATAGAAGTTCATCGCGAGCTCTAGTAAGTGTATAACTAATTGAATTTTTGCTCCATCATCATGAATAAACATCAGACATCGAACTCAACGTAGACATATGCTCTCTTGCGAAAATGATTTTTTACAAGGGGAAACTTTGAAAAAGAAAAACAGAAAGCCAAGGAAATGCAAAAGGACATAATAGCATGCCTCAACTACTCTTTGTTAAATGTTTTTTTCACATCTATTTACATCTGTCAATTTATAAGGGAATCTCTAACTACTGTTGTACAAAGATACATTTACTGAAGATTTCATTTCCATAAGTATTCTATGAGACTCCTCCAAGAATCTGACTACCTAGATCTGTTGATTCGCAGACAATTTCAGGAATAAAAAAATTCTATGTCAAAGTTGAAAGTTCCTCTCGCTCGCATGTTAAGGATCGATGTTTCTCAAAAGCAAATTTCGTCTATTGAAAAACATGCCTAGAATAGCGACACAAGGTTTTTTCTCCGCGTATATTCAACCATACTTCTTTGACAAGGGAACAGGTCTGATGTGTGCCTATCATTAAGCTTTTTTTGCAAATTATTCAGTTTGACACTGATATTCTTACAGGCTAAAACTGGGCTTGTTGGAAGTACTAGCACACACTGCTGCACTTTTGTTCGTACACATTCATGTGAATATGGGTTCTTGGCTGACGAAAAAAACTACAACTTGGATTTCCTTCCTTAATTCCAAAATTTTTACAAACATCCAGTGAAACCCAATTGATTTACATCAAGTTTCAGGTGCTAGCCCCTAATTCTGGGCGGACAAAAAAAGTTGCCTAAAATACTTCTATTAATTTTCACAAGCTCTGCACATTTCACCTTCTAACCTCCCCGACACAAATTTCCTCTAAAAAATAAGATATTTGAAAAGACCTCATGACTTGCCAGATATCTTTCTCGCTCACAGCGGCACAAGCTTGGCGAGATGTTGTTACAACGCTTATGTTTTTCTCTCCCAAATCGCGCCCACGCCTCCTCGAGAGAGGGATGCACGATGGGATGAGAGATTTCTCAGAATCATTTACCTGTTATCGAACATAACTCAATCACAGACATTTTTTATGAGTGGATATTGAGGGGAAAGGCTGTAGAAGTTCAAGCATTGAGAATAGTAGAACAGAGGATTAAGAAAGCCTACAACAGCACCAAAAATTCCGAAAAAATTATCTAAAAATGCTCAGAGCAGCGCTTCAATCTGTGTAGTATTTTTTCCATCGTGTATGATATATGCGTAATTTATTGTAAACAACAGATAATTTATTTCGAATAATATCAAAACTCAAAAATAAAAATTCGAAAATTACAATCTCTCGTAAAGACGCCCCCCCCCCATCAGCACAAATTTATTCTATTTAGAAAGTGCAGATTATAAACCTAGATAAAAAGTAAAAAAAGATATTTCTGAGTCTTTAACCATTATGGGAGTTAAATTCTGGAAAAACGCAATTCAAGTGTTCGTCACGGTTCTGTTGCCGCGGAATGACAATGATAACTTTTGCTAGAATATTTGGAAAGACTGAATTTTTCTCTTCTGAATAATATTCTTTCAAGAGGCATCGAACGTGGAGAAGATTACGGTTGAAATATTACGGTTGAAATTATTAGTGAAAAACTCATGTTCCAAATTGATAAATTGAAACCTCCCTCCCCCCCCCCAAAAAAAAGACCTCATTAATCAATTTCTCAATATTTTTCAGGTGACCCGCAGTCACTCACTTAGCGATCTCAGCGGATACTATCGTTGGAGTGACAAATACAGACCACAGTGGCATACTGTATATCAGTATACACCTTACAAATGGCGTCGTGATTGGGACTTGGTACGTGAATGCAGAAGATTTTGGCATTTCAAAGAGACAAATCTAACATTATAGTATGACGACTACTGGAACGATCGCTACTATTATTTCTCTCCGCTCTACAGTTCCTACACATCACCATACAAACGGTATTACTACAGGTAAAAAAGTCACCCAAGCATAAAATTTCACTAGCATCAGTAGCTCTGTCCTACATTCGTAACTTTTCCATTAGTAACTTATACCTAACCATCTTACAGCGATTATCTACCTAACCCATATTATTGGAGTCCATACTCAAGTTACTGGACTCGTTACAAGGGTTACTGGTAAGTTTGAGTAGAGTGCCAACTAATCAAACGTAGTCGGAAGAGGCTGTTGCTTTTGAGGTACAGTTGCACAGATTTTCCGTTTAATATAGTGTGTTTGCGGTGCCGAAGTGGTGCGGTAAAACTTGCGCGTGACAAAATACTCAGACAAATCACCGAAACTTCCGCAGGACAAGCCAAATTCGCAGAAGTTCCGCAGGATTTTGTTCACTATTGCAAAAAAACGTTGAAAATCGGAACTTCCGCGGGATTTTCAATCCTGCGGAAATTCCGGAAAATGCCACAGGTTCCGCAGCACTTTGACCTGCCAGAACTTCCGCAGGACTTTTGAATGTGTTGTCTCGTGATGTTGCCTCGCCAATAACTAGAGTGCATCATCGAACATGTCAGCGGTAGCGTAGAGGATAGTAGGTGGGTCTCCCGTCAATAGAGTGAGTTTCAAATTTCGCTTCGGTGTTCTCTTTTGCTGTTGTGGTTGGTATTCTTCGGAACTTCCGCAGGACCTCATTTCGGAACTTCCGCAGCACGTTTACGGAACTTTCGCAGGTGACCCGGCGGAACTTCCGCAAGCGCTCTGCGGAAGCTCCGGTCATTTGTCTGAGTAGCTATGCCTGCAAGGCCGGCTACTTGCGCGCAAAATGTCGGCATTATTTGCGCAGCTATTTGTTCAAATCTAATCCTACCACTTCAGCACCGCAAGCACATTATATTGAAAGGAAAATCTATTCGATTGTGTGTGTTGTCAGAGGGCGAGGCAGGCAGTGTGATTTTATCAAACTCATGCTGCTAAAATTTTAATTCATTTCTCTTATTCGTCCCTGGTTCACAAATTGTCGAAGCAACACAGGCTTGGTGCAACATTTCTCGCAAGCTAGCTAGGGTGACTTTGTTATCTTTTTACCTCCTGGTACCTTGCCTGACGCTAACTACTAGTCCTTTTAGGTACGATTATGACAGCCCTTACTACTATCGCCGTTACTGGGATTCGGCTTACAACCGATATCTCAACGACACGTACTATCCGTACAGGTATCGGAGTACTTACACACCCTACAGGTACTTTCGATCGGCAATACGTCACGCGTACGTCGAATATGTGTCTATTTTCAGAGTTTCTTAAAACAGGGACTTTTGCAAATATTAGGAAAACACTGCGAAAAAAGCGATCACTGGCGCATTTTTACCTAGTGTAAGAAAGAACAAAAGCAGTTCAAATAGGGTAACATTCCTACCAGAACAATACCATTCGTAACCTTTCCTTACTGAAAGAAGGATGTCTCGTTGTATGTTATCTCGTCCTTCCCTTCATGTGAAGTTAAACCAGTGAAAAAAGAATTATTTTATCTGTTTCAGGTCCTACCTAATGGATTCGCTCTCGACATCCCTTGGCCGTGGGTTGAGCATGTATAAGGCAGGTATCGTAGACTTAGTCGATTATTTCAACAATACTGGAAAAATGAAAGAGAAAAATATTTTGCACAACAATGATATTTTTGAAATAATCAAACTAACTGTATGTGCCTGCCTTAGCGTTTTGATTTTTTATCTAATACTTGAGTGCTAGCTTGTACAGTACAGGGGATTTTCCCGCTTAATATGGTGTGCTTGAGGTGTCGAGATTTTGCGGCCAAATCTGCGTATGAAAAGTAGCCACCTCAGCAACACCGGCATTTTGCGAGCGCAGGTGACCGGCATTATAAGTGCAGCTATTTGTTCACGGGCAAATTTGGCCGCAAGGTCTCGGTACCGCAAGTACACTTCATTAAGCGGAAAATTACTAGAATTTACATCGTAGAAGCGCTCAATCATCATTTTTCTCTGTTCAGGTCGATACTTATGGTACTACTAATCCATTTTCGCCACTATACCTGTACACTAGATATTGAGAAAAAGGTCTGTCAATCAATATTGTGTGGTAGATATAAATAGAAAAAGCGTTAAAGCAGGCACGAAAAGTGAGTTTTGATGTTCGGACTGGACAAATTTTGTACTTTCGCAGCATTCTGATCAATGTCGTCTCATCGCTCTTTACGTCTCCTTCCAAAAAAAAAACAACTCAACAGCTGGTCCGCGCATCAAAATCACTTAGTTGATAAAAGCAACATTTTTATTCCACTTTTGCTATCAAAATTATCCCCATCTTTTTAGTTTGCTACCGAAATATTATATTTTCCAAACCTGAAGTAAATAGAGGTTTTTTTAAACCTCCAAATTTTATATTCGCAGGAAACAGCGAATGTAGTTAAGCTTCGTTTATCATATCTTTTTCTCTTTACTCATAAATTCATTAAACTTTTCATAGCAGGCTTCAATTACAAAGTAATCAGCTAATCACTTTTCTGCAAATGTTGTTCCAGGCCTCATACGATACCCCACGCTCGAAACCTATTGGCTAACTCCAGCTTATTGGGACAGAAGATTTAAAGACTGGCGAGACGCATACACGACGACTAAGGATTTATATCTACCGTCAACGTTTGACCGGAAGACTCGTTCATACTTTGCTAGCTGGACTAGTTAACTGCTGTCTTTGATTTCATCAGTTTCCCTTCACGCCTTTTCTTTTCTTGATCGATCGATGTTAGCGATTGTGGCACTAGATCAGTCCATAATCACAGAACAGAATTTAGCAAATGAATGAAGCTCGCTTCAAACTTCTTTCAAATGCCATGATCGCTAAACTCATCTATAGCGATGGTGCTTCGTTTTTATACGAGTGTTTATGTCTCTATCCTCTCGATTTTTACTGCTCTACCGCGAATATACAATACTGCCATTTTTGAAGCATTTTTACGGGCGGATCTAGAGTAGTGCCGCTGTAGCAAATATTATTCGGTGAATTGTATGAGTACATATTTTCTAAGAACTCATACGAAAGTAAATATTTGTGCAGAGAAGATGGGTCTCATTACTCCAGACCAGCTGTTGTGCATGCTGTTTTTAACGGTGCATGAGCGTGGCCGATAATAGATTCACAAACGACGAGCGGATCGCCGAGAATCAAAATGCAAACCATTTCTCCGAAGAATGGCTCAATTTGAAAAGAATTAGACCCATGTACTTAGAAACTTAGGAGTCATTCTCCGCTGCTCCCTCAAAAAAACTGTGCTACCACCAACAACCAAGAAATTAGAGAATGCTAATAACACATTGACGACCATGCAGATTTTTTGTTGTCTGCCTTCTGGGACCAAGGCTTCTTACATATACCAGCCCATATTTTTCAACATTAATTTGTGTTGTTTATTAGATTTTGTGTTCTGTTGAATGTAATATGCATAGGAAATTCCTACGCAATAAATAAATAAAATTTAAAAAAACTATAATTACGCATGCTGCCGTCTGCAGCACACCTACAGTAAATATGAAAGGCTGATAAAAAAGGTAGAGGCCATCCTTAGATTCAGTGCAAAAGAAAGCTCATGGAGTGAGTCCATCCCAGGATAGTAGTCATTTTTACAAAATTCAAGTTTTGGCACACATCGTGCCTCAAGCGGTCCCACGCGGTAGTCATTGCTTGACACACAATGTGTGCCAAGCGGTCGTCAATGTGATAAAAAAGTAGGAAGAAAATGACTGAAGTATGAAAATTGTAACGAAAATAACTAGGTTAGAAGATGTCAGAAATAACCATAAACTCACCGCTTCAGAGTGACCGGAATTTTTATTGATTGGCCCATCGTGCTATGAAAATCTAATCGTTGCATTGCATGGATCATTATTCGCCATGTTGATAGAAGCCTGCAAATTACGCATGTTTCAGAAGACGTTCTTCGTAGATGTCAAAAAATTTGCCGATGATTAGCACGAACCTGTACTTATATCTATCTCCATACAGCAATACCACAAGCATTCGTATGCTAGTTGGTTCACCAGCGAAAACCTGTAAAAAATATTGCTTTACCTGAGATGTAGATCGTTCACCAATGAACGGCCTTACCGTAATTGCCAGCTCTTGTTCGACATCTCGATGTTGTAGCAAAACCTTTGCGCTTTCATCCAAACACTGAACACTTCCCACCCGCCGATTGTCTAAATTTCAACGAGTTTATGAACAAGAAAAATTGCAATCTTAAAACCTGGAATTCCTCGAATTTTGATGACTCGCTCGCAATTTGATGCGGCTTCATTGAAAAAGCGATAAGTTTCATTGAGAGCAAAAGGACGTCGCTCAACCCGAAGATCTAGGATCGAAATTGCAGAAGAGTTATCCCACCGTCGGAATACAACCTAAGATGACACATTTAAAAAAGTCCATGATATCAACACTTTAGCTTCGAAATCCCACCTTTGTCGATACAACTTTTCCCTCGGGCTGTTTGATTGCTTTCAAGTCATCGTACAAAAAAGGCACATAAACTGCTTCCATCGGTTTCAGAAATATTTCTAGATGTCCACTGTTTTGCAATACCAGATTCTTCTCCATAGGTGTTTCCAGAGAATTAGCCCGTTTATAAAAAGCCCATTCATCAAGGTCGCGCACTATGCTGAAATTTCTAGTGTTAGTTGAAGAGAAAGTTCAGGTTTACGTTCGACAGCTATTACCTAAGACCAGGTTCGTCCATTTCAATGATACAATTTACCGGCTCTGGATAGCTGTTTTGCAGCAAATATTCGAAGAATGCCTTTTCACCAAGGCTAGGGAAAATATAATGGCGTGAAGTGATGCCTGAAATTACAATTTCCCAGATTGTATCAAGCAGCAAGCATGACTGCTCCCCACCTTGAAACACTGCTTCCAATAATTTAGAAGCTTTGCTCTGGTTCCTCAGTTTCCTATACGCTTCTAACTCCTCTTCAAATAGAAATTTCTTCACCGTACTCTAAAAGGAACTAGTTAAAATGGCATTAAGATTGTAGTATTATACCTTCTGTTGCGTTGGAACAATCCCATGCTTAAGTTTTTCCCACTGCCTTATTCGATCATAACTCTGCTCATCAAAAATTTCCTCGTATCGCTGTTGTATGTCAAGCCTTGAATATTCTACATTTTTAGTACTGCACAGCCAACAAATATGATCAAAACATTTTTCTTGTATAGTTTGTTTTTATTTCTACGCACGAGAAAATAGATCAGCTTAGTTCAAGAAAGGAAAATTTTGAAGTTGTATTTAAGAGACTAATCATAAGAGCTTGAGCTTCGAGAGCTATAAGGAAGAGATTAGAAATTTAGTGTACCTTTAAAACCCTGGTCAATCTGCGGCAAACCCGGCTATCGCTTAGACTATGAAACTTAGAGTTGGTGATTTTGAGGGTTTTGTTGCCTACAGAACTAGGCTATTTAAAAAACATTAGAATGCCTCTATACTGCTTGACTTAAAGAAATTGAAGTTAATGCGAGTCATGGAAATCTAACCTTAATCTGAGAAAACGAAAGCGATATCTCTTACTAGATTACCGTTGATCTGTTGACCAGCTTGATCTCAAAGGCACAAGATACTTTAGGGTATCTTCAACGAGATATCATCCAAGCCGCTTTGTAGAAAAAATTTCCCGCTAGAAGTTAAAATTTTTCGTAGCATTTTTACACTACAACATTTTCTTTTCTTCTACAGACATAGTCATCCAGATTATGCATGATTTAGCAAATCCTAAAGTCAGTACTGAAGTGGAACAGACAATAAATTTACCTCTGTGCATGCAGAAATTTCTGTAGATTACTATCATGTGCAGGATTGAGAGGTTTGGCACGTATACGATAGCTGTCTGGTCCTTCTTCGCCCAATCCTTTGAGTCGACGATTTACCACACATGTGGTACGACTATGGACCAGATCTGAAATCAATAAAAATGTCTATTCCAGCTCAAACTACACAGCGATCACGATATACGCATATTCCGTAGCACCAGATCTTGCAAGATGTTTATTTGTTGATTTTTCTGCGCCGAAAACGTTTCCGGTGTATGTGACAGCCGCGCATGGAGTAGCTGGCAAGTGGATATGACATGCGACCAAATATTTTAACTCCATGGTCCGGTCCTTGACCAGAGGCGAGACAGCGGACAACTGATGGAGACCAAGAGGTCCTCAGAAACACTATAAAATGCTGACGGTGCCTAAGCTTGACAACAACAGCCACCTCTCAATCAGAGCTATGGCTTTTTCAGCAAATGTAATGATCGCTTGTTTTTCGGTAGGATTGCTATATCTCGTTCAATTGCAGGTAGGAATATTTAAAAATTGGCCTCTTTTCTTATCTACAAATTACAATTATCAACTAGAGAATGAACCTTAGTAGATATACGCCGACAGAATGTATCATGTCAACAACATATTGATCAATTACTCCGACGCTCACCGAGATTTTTGTGAATCAAGGTAGAAAGCCATACCTATTTATCTGCACAGCGAACTTTCATCTAATCCTAATCATTCTGAGGAGGTGGCGCAAGGCTATATGAACAGAGCTTACGTAATAGATACCATTCTATCTTCCACCTCGCACTCAGAAATATCACGGCTTACATATTATTACCCTTCAGATTTCAAAAGCTACACCATTCTATTGCAGGCTCTGCCCCTTCCGCACAATGCCGTTCTCGATAGTTCTGCCACTGATCTCACCATTGTCAACAACACTGCTATCGACACGCTTAGTGAATCGGGATCATCTAGGGTAAAGAGACAAGGCGGTGGTTGCGGTTGTGGATGTGGATGCTGCTGTTGCCGGCCAAGGTATCAGAAGCCTTCTTGATTTGTGTTGAACCGGTAAGACCACAAGATTAAAATTTAGATGTTGTTGTACTTGCTGTCGAACTTGTTGCTGTACTCGATGCTGCACATGTTGTAGACCATGCTGCTGCGGCTGCGGCGGAGGTATGGAAACTCTCAACCCCCCCCCCACTGCAATTACTTTATAAGCGTTTTGAATTAGGTGGCGGAGGTTGCGGATGCTGTGGTGGATGCGGTGGCGGATGTGGATGTGGATGCTGCGGTTGCGGTGGTGGTGGCCGTAAGAGACGTTCACTTCAGTATTTGAAAATCAAGCTGGCAGATAAGATCGAGAGAGAAGCAAGGTGTATATGGTAGCCAACATAGGTTAACGCCTCTAATGTTCATATTTTCAGAGATGCGGTCCCTGCTTTGTCAGCCGCCGAGAAGTCTGAGAAGACCGAAGAAGACGAACAGAACGAAAAAACGCAAGAGTCTGTACAACCGGAAGATGCTCATTCCACAGGAACTCCTACTAAAAATTCAGAAGACCTCACAAAGTTTCCGTTTTCTAAGCCAGATGAGAACGAAACTACGGAATGGCCACAACCAGTATTTGAACTAATCACTGAAACCTATGCTTAGATTACTTAGTTCTAAATTAATAATAATATTGATGTAATAAGAGTATACTAAGGTTATCTGCAAGAGAAATTGACGAGCTGCTATTTATAAATAAATATTCTATGATTATTTTGCAAATGGTTGGGGGTGTTCACTGACAGAAAAAAAAGATTCTGAGCAAAGACAATAAAAAAAGTCTGGACAAAAAATTCAGCTATGAGAAGAAAGATATCGGCTTAGCCGGGATGATTCTGAACAGGAGTGATAAGTTGAAGCGGAAGATCACAATTAGCAGATGGAAGCAGTAAACTCGGAAACACATTACTTCAAAACTCCACATGTTGTCTTGTAACCCACCTATCTGGTTTGAAGACGGGTGTCCAATATTTGCAAGGCGTAGGTATAACAAAGCTGACACTCGGGCAGGCTCCGGTAGCGCACTGAACACTACCGGGCATTGCACTGTACACTGAACAGCTTCTTTGCCATTTCTCAGCAGACTCTGAAAGAAAAAACTGATTATAAATAAGCGCAAAAATTTGAAGCAGTGCTGTGATAAACCTGAAGCGGGATATAACTAGCCCCCAAAAGCATCAAAGATTCAGCATCCCAAGCTTCTATGCAAAGCGAATTAGAGCACAAGTATGTGATAAACTCATCACGGTCATTTTCGGTCAGTCTTTGGCGATCCACAAGAAATTTGATCTAAAACATAACAGGCTGCAAACTGCTGCAAACTCTCCTTGGATAAAATGCATCAGTTTACCATAAATCCTTTTCCATTTTCGCTGATTTCTTCACCATTGGCGTTGAGACGTTTGAACACATTAGGCTCATTGCTGGCGCTGTTAATTTCAGATAGTAAAAGTCTGAAAAGTTGATTATCGCCAAAATTTCCCGTGCTGCTACTCTTGTATTCACTATATGCATTGTAACGACTTTAACTTCAAACTAGTAAGAGAAGAAACTCACTCCTCTGTTGTGACCTCTTGGAAACGATAGAATTGCAAAGTGAAGAATACTTTACGCATTGGGGCTGCGTCATGTTTATGTAGGCTACAAAGCAGCCTTCATCAATAACTTGCAAGAAATAAACAGAATTCTCCAAAAAAAAATCACTTTTTGAGAGCCATGAACTGAACAATTATCTCGTTGGTGCCCAGTGCGTCGTTCATTTCTATGGCTCGATTCGGCAGTGTGCCAGTAGAGACGTCTACAAGCGTGGGTGGATCACCTCCACGATCAAATATACCAGGAAACTATAAGAGGAAACGAAACATATGTTGATTGTAAGAAGATAAGCATTGAAAGATTACCTTGACATTGGCCAGAAATGCGTATGTCGACCGAGGAACATTGGTCACTCTAAATTCATGAATTTAAAAATTGCTTCTTCTAAGAAAAGACATCCATACTTTCCTTCCTTGACAGGCAGCGTATAGAGCGAAGGCAAATTTTGACGAGGGGATTCTTGCTCAACAACGCTGTCTATCTTCTGAATCAACTTCGGAGCTGTGATCCTTGTTGGTCTCTGCAAATTCGCTCAAACTCAACTTTCCAGCGATGATAAGCACTCTACGCACCTTCGTTATTATAGGTGGCAGCAAGTTTTCATCTTCAGCCGGTTCTGGCTCAGGCTGTTCACGCTTCAAATCTTTGATCTTCTTCGAACTATCCTTGCTGACCTCATGGGTGTCATATGTATCCACTATTTCTCGACGTGGCGCTGGTGTTGTGACGGTCGATCGCGACAGACTGTCGTAAAATCGCTGGAAGTTAAGTTAGAGACGATGCCTAGAATGTAGTGTCCCACGCTATTCTTACCGTATCCTCCAGAATAAAGCTAAACTGTATTGTGATCTTCGGAGCACTTTCAGTAAATATGCTGTCATCTCTACGATAGAGATGGAGAAGATTTTTGAAACAAAGGCTCTCATCGGGGTTTGGGCGAGGACCGCCAATAAGTGAGACTAAAATAATTGAACTTCAAAAAGAACGCAGAGAGAACAAGCAGGAGCATAGCCATCAATAACAAAACATAATCGTAAAGACGAAGGATGGAGACAGTAAAATCAACTTACCTGATGCTTGTATACGCCCATTCAGCTGCAATTGTGAACGATTCGAGAATGGCTGCCATGCTCCCCAGCATACAATTACTGACTGACTGTGGATAACGCTTTTCTGAAACGCAAACTATCATAAAAGCAAAAAACCATATAGCTATGGTCACAGAAATATCCTAGACAAGAAAAGATTGGATGAGAAGATATGATTGCTACTATGAGAAAGAAACGAAAACAAAGAGGAACTCACATCGCCCGAGCGAAGCCCGAGAAGGTAGTCGAGGGCAAAAACTATAACCAGCCGGTCATCATCAGCCATCTTCGGTAACGAAACTCGTGATCGTACAAATAAGGAGTTCATTTCCGATCTAAAACATGCTTTATAAATTGAAAGAATTTCATGCTGAACAAAATAGTGATGAAAACTTGCCTTATATCACCACTGCTCCGGCTCATTGGTCGCCCTTTTCGCCGCAGCGAATGCGTTCCACGAAGCTGATCGTCCAAAGACGACAAATGAACGACTAAAGGTTCGAAAAGAAACGTAAAACCATTGTGAACGCCGATCTGAATGATAGAATGATTTAGCTATAATCAAAAATGTGTAAATAAAGACACCCGCAATCTTCGTTCCAGAACTTGCATCGGCTCGCCATTTACTTCAGGAGGAAGATTCTCTCGACATAACCGGTCAATATTTATCTGTAAGGGACTGAAGAAGTTAAAGGGGCATGGAAAGTACCTATGACACTTACGTCTTCAAGAATAAGCTTTTCAATACGCTCAGCATGAGGCCCAAAAGATAGCGAAATCTCATCCAAGGATGACAGCACGCGTGGAAGCTGAGCCGGTGATGCCAACTGGGGCTCTGCAAACAATTGCAATGAAACGAACTGATTGCTCATAGTCATCAGTCTTGATCAAGCTTACCTCTGTCATTCGCCACTAAGCCAGGGATACTCAGTCGATTTCCGATTACACAGAAATCTGGGAAGTAGTCAACAGCATCGCTCAATAAGGAATGGGAGTAGAGAGAAGCCTCAAGAGTTCCGGTGACTACGGACTCCTGATAAGACTTTGAACTGAATGTGAGCACTTTTGGTGAGCCCGGGTAGAGCTTGACTCTGGAATTAAACATTGAACCAAAAAGAAAAAGGTAAGCCAGAGTCCTCAGCTTTGGAGATGTCAAAAGATAATTGCACGTAATTCAATTAATTCATTTTGCATGGTCTGTAAGTAGTAATTCAAAAATTGCAGCATGTCTTATGGGATTCCCCCGATTACACTATCAGGGTACACGAATGCATCGGCTACGACATAGATGTCGGCTCCCAAATTCGTTGGAATAGGTTGCGGACATTTGATTATATGGATCCAGCTTGTTAAACCTCCACGTTATAGCATTGCTTTTCGTACTCCGCTATCAAAAACCACCACGCTTCGAAAGGCACGACTCCACCTCCACCCGAATCTGGAAGCTTATGTACTTCTTGCAATCCTCTCCCAGCATAAAAATGCCGCGTTCGTAAGTGGGCAGAAATAAGCTCGCCAATACTGTTTGAAAAAGTTTTCGGTCAAATAAAGGTCCATCAAGCTTGGCTTTATATCTCACTGAAATTATTTGAAGGCGTTCATTTGCGGCTTCATCTTTTCTATTCAACAACTGTCTACAGTTCTTGAGTTCAAGACTTCCAGCAGCCTGATTGTCTATTCTCGGGTTCGATGACTATTAACAGCATATCTACGGGAACGGCCATAGGTTGTCGGTGTTGTCGATGTTGTCGATGTTGTCGATGTTGTCGGTGTTGTCGGTGTTGTCGGTGTTGTCGGTGTTGTCGATGTTGTCGGTGTTGTCGGTGTTGTCGGTGTTGTCGGGGTTGTCGAGGTCAGAGACAGTTTAGAGAGCGCGCAAAACGTGGAGGCTATCATGAGGTCCTACAACGACCGGCAACCTCGGCAACCCCGAACACCGACAACACCGACAACATCGACAACACCGACAACACCGACAACATCGACAACACCGACAACACCGACAACACCGACAACATCGACAACACCGACAACACCGACAACCTATGGCCGTTCCCTACAGAAAGTAATAAACAGAGGCAAAATATTATTGGGATGTTTGCTGATGACCTGCCAGCGCTACGTTGCATAAAGACAGAAGAAAAATCAGAATAACCTTTGTAGATCAAAACCAGCCGGGACCCGAGAATACTCTAGGATCGTTTCGCCATAACCGCCAATAGGCAGCAAACCCCAAGCCACCGTTATAACTTGATTTTCCCCTCTCCTGTGAATTGGAGTTTCCACAATCTCCAAGATCAACAGTACAGCATCGTCGAGATGAGGGCAATGGAAGAACAATTCCTCAAAGTTCATCAAACATTTTGCCGAACGAACTTTCCACAAATGCACAACTTTGGTGAAAAAACTTACATCATCAATGCTGCATTCGTGATGAGCGGCTTCTCTTTCGACGGTTTGATAGGGGCAACCAAAAAACTGGCTTGTTTTGGAATCGAAAAAATAACAGGACAAGTGATACGTTGCGTCTCTGGACAGCTGAAAATAAAAAGACTTTGAAAATGAAACCCGATGGTTGCAAGCACTAACTCTTGTAAGTCGCAATTTGCGCACGACTAATGCATAGCCTTCGGTAACTGCGTTAGCTGGCACCTCTCGACGTATTGGCACAACTCGTCGTGTAAGAAAATTACCATACCAGTCATTTACATGAGATGTCATCCAACGGCTGACCTTAAAGGAGTATCTAGATATAAAGCTAATCTTTAATTTGCTTTTGCTCAGTAAGAACCAATTAACGAAGGAGCTCAAGATGTGAGGGTAAGGCTACTGCAGATGGGAAATGGAAAGTTCGCCGCAAGTTACTGTCCTGACTATAATTCATTTGAAACTGAGTGAATCTGAAAGAAGAGTGCAGGCAAAAGAACACAACATTTTCTACGCTTTTATCTCAACAAGACAACGCAGAAAATCTTATCCCTCAACTTCGCTGGCTTTCCATCAAAAATATATACTGCATCACGCAAATATAGATCCGTAGCCAATGAAGAAATGGTTAAGAAGTTTCCCCAGCTATCACCTACTCCTACTCAGTTTATGTTACACGAGTCTTCATAAGTGCGCAAAGATAAATCGATGAGAAAATAGTAAACCGGAAGCTTAGACAAATTACTTGCCTGTGTCTCCATGCATGGGCGTGACCTGTACTGGTTGCTAAGCGACAGTCAGGTTTGCATCATGCATTGGGAAACAGCTTGATTATTGGGCCCGAAAATTAGTTGTGGTGTGGTGCTTAACGATGCTTCATTGCTTCTATACACCTGTATGTTGTATGTGTCATAGCAAATATTAACGATGTAGACTACCCATATCGCATGCACTGCAAAAGTGGAGTTTAAAACTGTCGTACGAAGCTGAAATTAGGCTCAAACAAAAGAGAAATCTTACCATTATCGGCGAGTGGCATAAAGTTTAGATAGAAGAGTATAGTTAGTTTCTATATAGTTTCCAAAATACTAATTTGAAGTGTTCGAACAAAATCCAGAAGATATTCTGAACTTAAAGTCAAGTACAAATCTATAAAAAGAAAATAAAGGAAAGATTCGATTTCCGGGGAAAGAAATCAAGTACCATCAGCAAATACAATCAAATTACAAGTATGATCGTTTCCACGTGGAGCACCGTTATACACGGCCAGACAGGCAGGAGTGTTCAACCCGTGATTCGGTTACCATGGCCCAAATGGGCAGCAAAACCCGATCTGTCAAGACCGGGCCTGTTGTCAGATCGACCCTTAAAGACCCTTAAAGGCAGTGTCCGGGCAAAAACTCGATTTTGAGATTTTGTGCTTACCCGGGCCTATTCGCCATGCTGAATCTGAAAATCCACATTGGAAAGCGCGAAAACGACGAAAAAGGGCTCTAACACTGGAGGGAAATAAGCAAGTGGGCGGGGTCTTCCCCACTGTGAATTCACGCTTCCAGCTTCCAGAGCAATTTTCTCGAATCTGTTAGCTGCCCTGACATCACTACCGATCAAGTGCAAACGAATGACTTGAAGCCGGAATAAAAAAGATCGCCCCCGAAGCTGGGAGCGTGACACAGTGGGGAAAACCCCGCCCACTTGCTGATTTCCCTCCAGTGTTAGAGTCCTTTTTCGTCGTTTTCGCGCTTTCCAATGTGGATTTTCGGATTCAGCACAGCGAATAGGCCCGGGTAAGCACAAAATCTCAAAATCGAGTTTTTGCCCGGACACTGCCTTTAAGTCCATGGGGTGGAGGAACGAACACCTCAGTTAGGCACCGCCTCCGCGGACCACTGGTCCCAACACGATGCACAACAATAGGACGAAGGCTGCGTTCATACTGATTACGAAATCCGGGAACAGTTCTAGCACAGTGCTCGAACTGCTCTCGGATTTCGTAATCAGTATGAACGCAGCCGAAAGGACCAGCAGCTCGCGGAGGCGATGCCTAATTGAAGCGTTCGTTCCTCTACCCAGTCCATGCAGTCCTAAGGTGAGGACAAATATGGCAGTAATGGGAAATTGTAGCAATTACCAGAGACGAGCAAGAGGTCAAGCACAAGTTATTCAAACCCCCCCCCCCTCCGATAAAAACCCTCGAACGACCCCTTTCAGAGTGTGACATTCGAGAACATCATCCTTTTCTAGAAGTTTTCATTTTTGAACTACGGCCGACTTTCTGTGAGTGCACTTCACAATCACATGTAATTTGACGGCTGATTTTGAACTGAATGGGCCTATTGAAAGGGCTTTAATTTTTCTAGGGGTGGGGCGTTTGGCTCCAAATTTCCACTGTAACAAGAAGAAGCTATGAGTCAATACTCATTCTGGAAATGAAGCGATTTCTAGATTTTGAAGGCAAGTTAAGGAAGTCAGGCGCAACCCCTCAAAAGCTCCGGCAGCATAGGTGCGATAGGGGACAGAACAGATTTCGCAGTCGTTGCACCTTTTGCCACAGTACCACAGTTGCGTCTAACAGGGCAATCGTGGACCAACTAATACTTCTACTGCCCTCCGTCGGGTAGAGGACCATATGTCGCCGAAGGGCGGTCCCCGCTGTCACTTGTGACAAATACGCACCCTTGTACGTGCGCGGACATGTGTTCCTACAGGAAATCCGCGCGGGACTCCTCCACATTCGGCAACATAGTCCTCCACCCCCCTCCGTCCTCTGAAAATGAGTGTCCAAGTTATGCGTGAGATTGATGTAACTTTGCAACTGCAGAGATCTCATCAAATGCAGCTAATGTTTCAATCAGGAAAGCAGATCAGACTGCCGAGAAGATTTGATTTGCTTGTGTATCCATTTCGGCGATCACAAGCAGCAGTTCTTGCGTTTTGGCTGCTCTTCGACGTACAGAACTAAAATCTTGCAGACATTGTGTTATTTTTAGTTTCGTTTGCAATCACTCAACAACCACCGTTGTTCCACTTATGAACCACTAAATGTTCTCTGAGAGCGAGACGTGATGGTTTGCAAGATAGGCTTTCTCACTTCCTTCATGCAGCTAAATTGTTTTCTAGGTGGTTCATCTATGATAAACAAATGCAGTTGGAATCGGGGGGAGAATTGCTTGTGTCTACGACATACAGTGGTTTATATTAACTTCAACTCAGCATTATTACCTGTAACAAGGTAATTATCACGGGATGTGCCATAATAGAGCGTCGGCTAATTTTCAATGATGAAACTCTAAGTTTCCACTTACTGCGCATTTTTGGATAAGAGGAAGGAAGTAAAAGGGGGGAGGGGCACGCGGAAGGCGACAATCGGCGAAAAATGGAGGCTGTGTATCATCCGTCTCAATGACTTTCACGGATTTCTACTTGTGGCATTGAGTAATGTATCTGCCCCCACCCCCCACCCCCGTCGTCCCCCGGGGTGTCACTTTGACACCGGAGAGTTTCTGATAGGCACAAAATTGGGGATTGTCGCCTTTCGCACCACACCCAAGTAAAAGCTACCGTTCTGAAACTATCGCTCGCCGTGCGGTAGTTCCGAACAGCAGCCTTCGACTCGCTGTCACTTACCAAAAATGCCATTTTGGCATTTTTATACCTCCGCCTTAGGCTCACCAGTCAAAAAACCGCCGATGTACCTAAATCTCTTTAGGTGGACACTTGGAACTAGGTAACTAGAGACATACTTCACTTCAATGCGACAAAGATTCCTTGCACTTGCAATAGTTAGGTCCGATGGGAAAACAGATGCTTGCCCAGCTTGTCCGCAATTTTTGCTACCATCGCTTCCCTGCCTCATTTTCACGTCTTAACACATGCATCTTGTGCTGAGGCCGGATCTGATCCCCGGCCTCAGCACCCCCTGTCAATCAATTCGCGCGCCAAAACCCAAGTATTTTAGGCGGCGCACAGTGATCGACTTCGGATCTTCTCAATCGTCAATTTCTTCGTCGACCGTGGATTCATACCTTGCTGTCACTTTGTCTTGCATAACTTCGAGGTATACTGGCACATATGCTTTTGCTCTCATTGTTCACATCTCATACTTGCACATATTTTTGGTTCATTAGTTCCAGTTTACCTTTTTGCAACTATTTGCTGTTTCTATAGTACTCAGTAGTGTTCATATGTTATTTGTTGAGTTTATTTGCTGTTTCTTATCGTGTACTCAGGTCTTTGTGCCTCATACTTACCGTGAAGTGCTTATCCTTATACTGGTGCCCATTATGATACTCAAAGTTCGACTAGATTTGCATTACGCCTCGTATTTTGTTTCGCATGTTTTGTTGTTGTTAATTAATGGTAAATAAAGGGTTTAATTACCCAAGTTTGAGGTGTGTGTCTACGGCGGTTGCTATCGCGACTACTTCAAGCCGATTTGGTATTCCTAGTTCTGTCATTCGTTCACTATTCATTCAGTTTCGCGCCCCAGCCTCAGCTACGAAAGACCCGCGTGGCACACGAAGCGCTCAGACATCCGAAGGCCCAGTTTCAACGAAGCCGGTGAAAGGTGGGATTTCAGTAACCCTTTCACTTCTTCTTTTTCTCTTCTTTCCGAGTTTTTTGGTCAATTTTTGAGTACGGGGTCCCCCTCGCTCTCCCCCTTTGGTACCCGGGACCCAACTCACATCTCTCATTCGACATTGTGGAGAATTTCTACAAAGATGATTGGTTAATACTGACGGAGACTTAGGTAACGACATGGTGTTAGAAAACCCAGGAAGAACAATTTATGTCTTAGCACAAGAAGTGCTTGAGAGACCATACATCGTTCGCTGTAAATACCTAGACAAAGCCTTGAAACCTAGACAAAATCTTGAACTAACAAAATCAGTGCGAAGAATGCATCTACCTATAGTAGCAGCTCTCCAAGGGGCCATCATAGCAGAAATTGTTTTGGCTATGTCTGAATAGGGTAAAAAGCTCTTTACAAATATGTCAAGTCTAACGAGTTAGCTATTCTCGGGACTTGATCCCTCTACCCTGTTGTATTGCATCTTAACAGAACAGTTCTTGACTAGATGATTTTATCCCTATATTATGTATATCAAAATGGGGGACATTAATGGGGAGGGGGCCACCGAGCACCCGGGGGGTGCCAGCTCATCTGGAGATTCTGGGCACCGCCCAGTTCGTGAGGACTGTCGGACCATCCAATTAGTCTGCGTCTCGACATGTCCATTCCATAGCAAAGCTCGTCCTCGAGCTTTCATCTTTGACCATGGCTCGGGAAGCGAAAAAAACCATGTAACTTTTGATCATCTCGGGGTGCACGTTTGACCATTTGACCATCATCATCATCACCATCGTCATGTCGTCATCAACCATCATCATTGATCGATTTCTAGCTTGTTGTCGTATCGTCATCGATTGAATTCTAGTCTGTTTGATGTCGTTGATTGATTGCTGGCGTATCGATCATCATTGCTCGAGTATTGATCGTTACTATACCATTCATCTCATCGAGAACCATGCATCTTTTCGTGGTTTGCTTTCATCGTGGAGGGAATTGAAGTCATCGTGGGGGAATCGAACTTCATCGTTGAGTTGCATTTGCTGGATTGCGTCTTCACGTTGCATAGAGGAGGAGCCGGTAAGAGACAAGGTAAACAGAAGGGCGAACGCCAGAAGGCGAAGCGCACGCTCCCGTACGTCCCGTCAATAAAGTAAAGCTCGTCCTCGAGCGGAAGGCATATATACGTTGAAGCAGAATGGATTGTTGTTCAATATGGAATTGAATAAGAGGATGAATATCGTGAGGTATTTTGCAGGAGGGATGAAATCACACATAAAATGGTATAAACATTACAACAAGAAGGAATTCAAAAG